CCGAACATTTGGCACCAAATAAGCATCGTGCAAGGTCTCACCACCATTCTTATAGAATTTTCCCTTAAGTTTGAGGGGAACTTTTATATTGCACAATAAGCCCGATGCACTTATCAACCATCCAACTTGAATTCTGCTGATAATATCCCCATCAATTTCACCATCACTTTGAACAATAGATCCAAGATATCTAAAACGTATACTCTTATCGATGACTTGATCGCCCAAAGTAACAATCCCCTCACTAGGTCTATTGCTACCAAAATTAACTCTATATATTCAGTTTTAGATCTACTCAACGCAAAAAACCTTTAGACTCTAAAGTTGACCTCCATAATTCAAGTTTATCCTTCAATTCCCCTCTCTAGTCTTATCAACAAGAGAATATCATCAGAAAAATCATACACCAAGGTACATCCTCTTGCAAATGTCTAGTGAGAACATCCATGACTAAGAAAAATGATATGGACTTAGGTGATACTTGATGTAATCCCAATAAAGATACAAAATATCAAGTCAAATAAGATTAAACTGATAAGCAATGATAATTATGAGCTTTGGCGGAAGTGGATTTATTACGTTGTACACAACAATTACTAGCAGATTAATGGATGTGATCACCGAGCCTAACAGAGTTAGCTCTAAAAGAAGATTGACGTGGAAAGTAAAGCTTTAGGTTTATATGAGAATCCTTATTAATCATTTGAATACCTTACTGGGGAATACTAATAGTGATTTGGTGAACAAATATTTCATGAAATTTTAAAAACGACTTAAGAATTCTAACTAAGACTAAGAATATTTTTGGTATTAATGTTTAAGAAGAAGGAGAAGTGTGAGATTGGCAATAATTTACAAAAGATCGAACTAATGAAACATAACACAGCTGTAATAGGAAAGAGTAATAGAATGTCTTCCAGCTTTTTGCCTTTGTTGCTAGAAAACCATATGAAGGTGATATGCATGTTAAGACTAAAAGGGAATAAGTATTAGCAGCAAAATGAAAGGTTTTCATAACGTTTTTATTTTATTTTGAGAGAAAAGCGACAAAATGGTTCCTTAACTCTTTGGGAGGGGACAAAATTGTCCCACTACTTTTGAAGGTTCATTTGATCCCTCAACTTTAACAATAGACGCATTTCCGGGTCCTCCATTATAAAAAATAATGGCAAATTCGGATAGCTGAAGGATGTTCGCGAGAAGTAATGATTCGAATACACAAATATAATAATAATAATATAATAATAATCAGTAATATGTCGAAACGAACTCAATCATTCTTCGAACCCTCTACGAGGATGAGCTCAAAATCCAGCAACCAAATCCTCTTCGAAAGAGACGAACGCAATTACCGCTCTACCTTCACGTGAGCTGACTGGCACATTAATAACCACCACAACAAAACCACCACTATTACTACAACCTTAACCACAACATCCAACAAATAACCACCCTACCACCACACATACCAAAAACACACCAACACACAAATAAACCACAAACCCAAAAACACAAGTACCTCAATTAAACTAACAACATTTAACTCTCTTATAAACTACAATCCAACAACACCAACCAACACTAACATTTTTAAAAAAAAAAAATTCCACACACTAAACCAACAAACACATACAGACACCCAAAATTAAAAAATGCCCAGTAATTTCCTCAACAATACTAGAATGATTTGCAAGAAAACAAAAATTAAGATCAATAATTGAAATCAAAAGCGTTACCTATGGGACATGCAGATTAAAGGGTTTATCAAGGTGTGCAGGCCGAATCTACGTTGCGCCGAAGAATTGAGTCATTGTGGTTTTTTGATTGTTTATGTAATTTTTATTTATGATGTCGTATTGTATTTGTTTTATTTGTTCTCTTTCTCAATTGTAGCCGGCTTTTATTAAGGGATGTACGTATATAAGCCTGAAGGGCAATTGTCTTTTTTCTATTTTGAGTCTTATGGTACGAGGCTAATTTATTAGCCCCTATGTTTTCTCTTTGCAAGTTAATGATGATTAATAAAACTTGTTTAGTCTTGTTGAACTTCTCATGAGAGCTTGAAGAGTTTAGAGTGAAATCCGAGTCTTGAGAAGGAAGCTTGCACACATACCCACCAACCTAGACGAGTCGGGTTTCGTGTTCTATTTCTATCTCTTTCTCTCTTCCTCCTAGCATCACTGGACACACCACCTCTCTTTCCACCTACCGCGCCCCTCTATCCCACCATTCAAACCATCGGCCTAAGCCCTAGCCATCTTGGTTACTTCCTATTTTGGATTGCCATATATTGTTGGCCTTTAATTCACATTTTTCCAAAAATTTAAAATTCAATTCTTTCCTGACTTATAAAATCTATTTTTAGAAAAGTTTTTTAATCCTCCTCATCAGAATTTAAATTAATTTGGGATGAATTAATTAGTTTTCGTTCTTTGGTGCATCTAATCTAATCCCCAAATAAGGAAGCATTAAGCCTCCTTAATTTTCCCCATCTCCCTTATCCGCCGGCACTAGCCTGCCTAACCGCGGCCTAGCCTTCCTAACTAAACGGCCCACTTCCCACTTTCTCATGCTTTTGAGTCTTCCTATTAGTTATATCATTAAATTGGATCAATTTGGAATTCAAATTAATTAAATTTGAAATTCAAATTCTTCTCTCCTAATTCTACTATTCTATTTAAGAAAAGTTTCCAATATAACCATTTCAAATCAAATTCTATTGAAATTGACTGGATCTCTTGCTTAATTTACAACTCCCCTTGATTAGTGCCTCCATATTTAATTCCCTAAGCCCTCCCTCTCTCACACATGCGCCAGCTGCCCTTAACTAGAACACCCCCCACTCCTTTCTCTCTCCTCCCTCTCTCTCTCTCATTAATTCCCCTCCCTGATTTTTAGGAATTAAATTTTCCTTCCCATTTTCATCTCTTTAATTTCAAAATCTGAACTTTATTTCAAAATTTTTTGAAGTGAAATCTCCCCATCAACCCTACTCCTAACCCCCTAGTGGATCTCCTTCTTTCGGCCGACCCCTCCTCCAACTTAGCTCTTACTTCTTGTGAGAATCCCTCTTCTCTCAAAACACCTAAGACCTTGAAACGCCATCGTAACTACCATGTACACAGCCATCATGGCCATCTCGACATCCCCGACTACAAACTTGCCTCGGATGAAGCATGGCTTCATGCAACATTCTCCATTCAACCTTCTTCGGAACATCAACCTGAAGAATCGACCATACGTTGAAATACATAGAGCGCATTTTCTTGGACACCTTGGTGGAAGCTATTGAAGAACAACTTCGAAGATCGTCAAGTGGGAGGATTGTCGTCGATCCTGACGGAGGTTTTCTACTTTTTCCTTTTCTCGTATTTCTTAAGTCTAACCCTCTCTTGTGATTTGATTGTAGTCATGAAGGCTGTAATTCACCTGATTCTGCTAAAGGCTTGTAAACGTAGGAATTTGAATGAAGCTTCTTTGTTTTCTAATTCTTATTGTTAAACTAAGATATTTTCGTTGAACAGCTAATACGTTTGCATTATGTTATTCTCCTAAAATATGTTTGATGAATGCAATCTCTTGATGTGCAACTTGCCTAAACGACGTGACGCGCTCTTACGTTTGATTCTTCGTTTTATTTGCTAAATAGAGTCTATTTTGTTATTAATCTAATAAATTAGAGTTTGTGCAAGCTCTTACTTAAATTTATTGCAAGTATCATAGTTTACATCAATCCTAGTATCAGAGCATGGTTAATGCTCTTTTTGCATATGTTAGTATCACTTGGTAAAATTTTCTTTTCAAACATTTTATCCATTCACCATTGCATTTGTGTCATTTAGAATTTGTTAGGTTTGTTGTCCTTACTTTTCTCAAGTCATTTTTTTACAAGGTAATAAGTATGTTTCTAATCATATAACTTGCTATCCTTTTACATCTCTTAGTCCACTTTAGGTGTCTCGTAGTAAATCCACTGGATCCGGGAACAGACTAGGAAGGTACTTTAGAACTTGTTGGTAGGCCAAATGAACAATATTAAGCCCACATAACTCAAAGAAAATCAACGCCAACTCTAAGCTGAACTTCGTAGAAATACCACTGAGCGATTTGACACACTGAGCGAGCTAGAGAGCCCCTCCTATCCTACAACCCCATCTAGAACCCACCTTCTATGTATGGGGATGAACACTTACCCGGATAAGAGGCAATATCGTGAACATATCATCGAGCCTCCTTACCATGGACATGACCCACGTCATGATCCGATATACACTCATTGGAAAAAATATTAAAGTTGACGCTCTACTTGATGGGCACACTCCGATCCCTAGCTCTTCCTAGACTAGGTCAAAGGTATGACAGTTTCCCCTTTAGTGGTATAACATCTCCGAGTTTAGGTAAAGGTCAGTTTTGTGGAGATGAAGCTCACGGGTAGGGGAGTCAGTTTTTGGGCCAACTGAGAGCCTTTAGGGAAGCTAGGAATCGATTACCCCATTACTGATTGGTCGTCCATTGAAATGGGAACTCAGCAGAAGTATTTGCCTCGTCGGTACTTTCACCCACTATTGGATAGGTGGACATAGGCTGACTCCAAAGGCAACAAACCATGTTGCAGTACATCGAATGACTTCCTGATTCGCCTGCAAAGGGGAGAACTCGTACACCCCCGCGCATATATTGTATATGTTTCAACCGGGTTGCCCGAGATGAATCTTCGTAATGAGCTGTTTGCCCGGAACATCACTAAATGAGGAATGCATACACCTAGTGCTTGATTTAGAGGAGCCCGTTCACAGCAAGTCGGGCCCATTCACATGACTCTAGGCCCTCCTACAGGCCATACTGGTTCAGTTTCCGCGCCACACACTTCTGCTAGCCGACGCCATTTCTGGGAGCAACCGCCCGACCACCCACGGGTCCTTCCCTCTGCACCTCGAATCTTAATTTTGGAATAAACTCCGCCCCGGATACCCCTCGGTCTAGTCCCGGGAGAGCATTCTCATCTTTGCAACACTTAACTTAATATTATGCTTATCTTTTAATGACCAATATTCTACACAATAAAGTACTGCAGGTCTAACCACTATATTATAGAATTTCCCCTTAAATTTGAAGTAGACTTTTCTATCACACAACAAACACAATGCATTAATCCATTTCAACTATCCAACTTGAATTCTATTAATAATATATCCATCTATTTCACTATCATTCTGAATAATATACTCAATATATAAAAAATGTTTACTACATCACCTAAAGTGACAATCCTCTCACTAGATCTATTATTACTAAAAGAACTAATATATAATAAATAGTTAATATAATTATTTTAAAGTTTAGAAATTGAAATGACTAACTAATTATATAATTAACAATGTAAATAATAATTAAATAATTAATTAGATAATTAATATTCAAATAATAATTAGATAAATATTCAAATATTAATATTTATAATAGTATTTAAATAATTAAGCTAGTTAATATCCCTAAAATTAGATAATTAAGCTAGTTAATTTAGATAATTAATATATTACTAAAAAATTTAAAGTTATAACAAAAAATATTACTAATTTTTCTTATTAAAGAAACGATTAATAATTTTTTTTTGCAAAACTATAATTACTTGAAAATTATATCTAATAAATAGTTTAATTAAAAAATTACTAAAATACTCCTATTTTTAACACCATCAAGTCCAACATCCATTAGTTTGGATGTTAGGACCAAAATGGTTCTATTTTAAAGGGTCGAGGGATCAAATTGGTTCCTCAAAATAGTTAGGGACCATTTCAATCCCTCCCAAAGAATTAAGAGATCATTTTGATCATTTTCTCTTGATTTTGAGATGGTTTATCATTGAGTATTGTGAGAATTGATTTGGTGCATATTAAAAAAGTAATGTGTGTATTATAGGCTGTTGTAGTGCGACGAATGAGTTTTCATTTACAATAAGATCATATCAAGAATTAGTAGTGTATCTAAAATGAAGATCAGGAACCTTGAATTTACGGCATATGTTCAAAGAGTGAACCAGGCTAAACAAATTGGTTAGCTAGGCTCTTATATAGATCGAACTGTTAAAGAAAGCAATTAGTGCAGTTTTCTAAATTAGATTTTTTTTTTGGAAGGTGTTAGCTACAATTTTTTCTACAATATTATGTTGACTAGTTTTCTATGAAAAATGTTAGGGAAACCATGTGGCTTTATTGTCTTCCTTTGCTGAGATGGGACTTAAGCTGCGGCTTGACATGCCAGATCAAGCTATGGAGGTTTCCACCCTATTTTTTCGTAGATCCACACTTGCAAGTGAAGCACTTGTAAGTATGCTTCATGGTCTTATTCTTGGATTGAAACATTTTTCTTCGTTTTCTAATAAAATTTCTTTGTTGTTGCCTTCATAAAATTGACGATAATGTTATTTATTTTCACTCCTAAGGAAAATGTGAAGTCTTTGAACGGCCAAAGAGAAAAGAACATGAAGGTCATTCAAGAGAAAATGAATCTGGATCAAAAGGAAGCTAAACGCTTTAATCCTGTAAGTGAAGTATATTGCAATGCACCAATATTGAAAACTTAGAATGAAGTCTATCAATACAGTTGATGACATGCACGAACCTATATTACAGGTTGATGCATTCCCTGGTGACGCAATTATATTTATGAGGGTTCTAAATCTTCTTCGAGGTTGGTAAATCCTATGAATTGCCTGATGATCAAGAGTATCATTACCTTTTAAGCAAAGAAAATATACATATTATCTCAACCTGTATTTCGCCAGGGCTTTCATCTACTATGAATGTTAGAATTGCCTATCTGGACATCATGAAGCCATTTGCAGAGGAAGCTTTACTTGGGTAGGATTATAACTTTCCTGGTCGTTTTTTATTATTTGGATTTTGTGGTATTATAGGCTTGTTCTGTCAATTCTTGAAACAAATTTCATATTCTTCATTTTTGTTCTTTTCTAACTTGATCGTAAATTCCAGGAAATTGAAAAATTCCCCAAAGATGAACATGGAGTGGATTTGCGATACACCAGTACACTCCAGTGTAGAGGAGAAGTTAAGGCAGCTCTTAGTTCAGATGGGGGATAAAATACTTGGGTTACAGGTAACGCTTTCACTTATTTATTTATTTGGATACAATATCGTTTTTGTTATCAATTCTAATTATGCTTCTCTGAATAAAATATCTCAATAAACTTTTGATAGTTGGAACCAAATACTCCCAACATCTAAGTTTTTTTTTTCTTTTTTTCCCTTTTTATGACTTTATGCACAACCTTATCCCTGTAATTCTCAAGGATTAAGTCACCATTCTTAGCTATTCAGAATCATTTCTACTCCCAGCTTTCTCCCTCCTTTCCTCCCTCTGTGTTACTACTCTCTCTTATGTTTTTTCATTCAATTTAAAATCACCACCTCGACAAACTCTTCTGGGTAGTGTTGGATGGCGGGTTTGCCATTGTCCCCCCCCTCTCTCTCTCTCTCTCTCTCTAACACACAAATATGCATAGTTCTTTGTTATTTCTCTTTCCCTTAGGGCTCTCTTCTTCTCTTTCTCTCTCTCTCACCCCACCCCTGCCTTCTTCCTCTTCCTTCTACCTCTTAGTTCTTTGCATGAGGTAAAAGATGAAGGGAGCAATATAATTTTGTAGGCTTCATGGGCCATATGTAACAAAACCAGGAAATGGAGGTTTGAATTTTCCAAGCCAGGCAATTAGGCTTCATGTGCAGCATGCATTGCAAGCACATTGATTGTCTGCATAAATAAATCCATGCTTGCACACATGCATACACACTTTTTGCATCAAGATTTTTATTTTCTGCAGTTACTGGTTTGTATAGCTATCTTTTAGGCTTCGTTTGGGACAGCTTTCTTCCTGCTTCTTAAAGCGGCTTTCTAGTACAAAAATTTTAATTTTTTTTACTAGAAAGCCGCTTTAAGAAGCAATAAAAAAGTCGTCCCAAACGAAGCCTTAGACATGGTATGTGATGTAGAAATCATGTAGCCTACTTTTTCAAAGTAGGCTACATCTAGTTGGTGGTCTAAAGCCTAACTTTGTGAGGCCGGATATTAGCTTTCTAGAACAATGTTCCGTTGAGGTAGATAAATCTGGGAACCTTTATTGGTTTAGGTTTTGGAGTAACTTTTGATGGATTTTGAATTTTATCGTTGCATGAATTATGGTTCAGGTAATATTAATCTTAAATCAGTCTTTTAATTTCAATCAAAGAATATCTTATGAGCTCAAATCATCATATTCTCATTTCAGATTTTTGTTTTTTAACAAGATTATAATTATTTGGTTATCTTAGGTATGTGCCTACAAAGATGGAAAAGTCATAATAGATACTGCTGCTGGTGTGCTAGGGAGATATGATCCTCGTCCTGTTCTACCTGATAGTCTATTTCCAGTTTTTTCTGTAACAAAAGGAATTACAGCAGGGATGGTGCACTGGCTTGTTGACAAGGGGTATGAAAACGTTATATTTTACTGGATGGAATGTTAAAATGCTTCAATGTCTGCCATCTATTATAGGAAATTTACATACATACCACCCTATACTACTCTATTTACATATTTAACACCTAAACCTTTAATATTACATACATACCATCTATAGTTCATTTTGAGTGGTATATTTGATATTAAAATAATATAAGATGGTATAATATAGATATATGTAATATTAAAATTTTGGGTGTTAAATATATAAATAGGATGGTATAAAATGGTATGTATGTAAATTTTCCTAAGATATATTATGGTTCGAAGCATAATATTCCAAGCAGCAGTTCTTTACTTCATAAACATTTTATCTGGCTGAGATAATATGGTAATTACTTTTTCCGATTGCCTGCCGATGCGGCACTGGAAGATTTTCAGCTTGTTTATATCACAAAAAAATTCTTCTAAAATAGAATTCTAATGTGAAAAAGCAACTTGTTCAATTTTAGCTGAATGCCATACTTGTCAAGATTAAGGTTTTCCGTGAAGGGAACTTAACCTTGGTTTAAATTATCTTGCAGGAAACTCAAACTTGAAGAAACCATTGCCAATATATGGCCAGAGTTTGGCACCAATGGAAAAGATCTTATGAAGGCATAAATTTTACCAGTTTTCTGTTAATTGTTTTGATGGCTTAGGCTTCGTTTGGGACGGCTTTTTTGTTTCTTCTTAAAGCAGTAAGAAGCAGCAAGAAAGTCATCCCAAACGAAACCTTACTTCCAAAACGGAAAGATTTGTGTTTGTTAAAATATTCAGTAACCTTTTTTTTTTCCTTGATTAGGTTCACCATGTCCTCAATCATACATCTGGTTTGCACAATGCTATGGCTGATGCCATGCAGAACAATCCTTTGTTGCTTTGTGACTGGGATCAATCGTTAGACTATATTGCTAAGTGCAGCCCCGAGACAGAAATTGGTACTCAGCAACTATATCACTACTTATCTTTCGGTTGGCTTTGTGGTGGTATCATTGAGGTGTGTGCTATTTTTTCTCTGTAATGGCACACTTAACATAGTACAGGAAATTTGTAGTATCTTAGTGCCATGCTAATATTTATAGCTTGAGCAATATTTGGATCATTTTCTATCACCTTAAAGTTGTTTCCATTAGTATCATATGACCTTTCAGGTCTCCAGTTTGATAATTATCTAATCTAGAAGGATAATGAAGGAGTAGGGGTCGACCTAAAGTAACTTGAATAATTGAAAGATTTGTTTAAAGAGAAAATGATAGATTTGATCCCTAAAATAGTCACCGACGTAAAAAAAATACTTATTTGATCTCTTTGACTATTTAAATTGGGATCAAATTAGTCCTTGTATGAATCATTTAGATACTTATTTAAAAAGTCAAAGGGCTAAAATGAGACTTTTAAATATTCAGGGATCATTTTTTGTCCTTATTTCTTTGTATAAACTAGACTTAACAATTCAAGTCATAGAAGAGTAGAAATGAATGGAGAATGTGAATTCATAAACCTGAACCCAGGCTAGGTAAGGCTAATAATGACATTGGTAATGAAAGGTTGTCCTTGTTAAGTTCACTTCTTGATGTATTCATGGAAATATGCTTCTATCTCTTTCAAGTTATGTTTGTACCTTTTTTTTCACTAATATATTGTAATGACTGTACTCTTCTATCCAAACAGCATGCATCTGGGAAAAAAATTCAAGAAGTATTGGAAGAAGCTATAGTGCACCCTCTCAACATTGAAGGCGAGTTATACATAGGTATCCCACCAGGTGAGCAAGCAACCGTATATATCATGCCAGCTTAAAATTATCATTTGTTTGGTGAAAAGTAAGATAACTTCAAATTCAAGGAGGTGGTTTATATGAATAATAGATACTAATCTTTATTTATCTTCTTAGTTGATTAGAGATTCAAAAGTTTGTTACAAAATTTTTATTGGAATTTAGGTTCAAATAAATTTGAATCTATTTTATTAAGAAAGTATCATTTCTTCAAAGATATTTTGGTATCTTCTCCTTTAATTCTATTATTTTATTATTTATTCCTTTAATTTTCTCTTAAAAATGTAAAAAAAGCATTTGAGAAAATGTCATATCATTTTAATAGTATTATAGGATTAAAATATTTCTTCAGAATATAGAGAGATGAGTTTTAATGAATGAGGATTGGCCAATATATGTGATGGTTGGATAATCAAAAAGATATTTGAATGGAAATGAGTAAGAGTGGTAAACTCTTCAGTTCATTACTTCTTTGCAAAGTGAATTGGGGGTGTCGGGCATTCTTCTTTAACAAAGGTTGTGATCTCTAAGCGAAAGATCTTGTAATTCATTATAGGCTTTTGAGCTTTATCCATTCACCTCTTAGAGACGAGCTTTGAAGGAATCAACAAAAGACATTCGTTTTCTAGATTGTTATGGGAATAGTGTCCTACTTTTATATTTGTTGATGATAACAAAAGAAAGCCAACGATTGATTGCCTTTGACTTCCCCTATGCCAGCTGAAGTGGGGAGTTGATCTCTAGGTATGAAATTTATACTATTATTATGAAATTGGATAGAATTGGACTTCCAAATATAGCATTCTAGACTGAATGTGTTTACCAGCATGAATTAGATCATATATGTTAATCGTAGAGATGACTTGCATCGCATCACTAGGAAGGTGATCATGTCTTAAGCATTAATAGATTGATTCCCAAAGCCATACGCTTTATGAGGGTATGGATAAAGCTCTTTTTTGTGGGGGTAAAATTTATAAGAGTAGAAAAGAAAAGCATGTCTGCTAAATCTTCTTATATAAATCAATATTTTTGTTATGTTTATGGAGAAATCCCCCTCAAACTTAAGGGAAAATTCTATAAGATGGTGGTTAAACCTGCAATACTTTATGGTGCATAATGTTGGCCATTAAAAGAGAAGCATAATATTAAGTTAAGTGTTATAGGGATGAGGATGCTTAGGTGGATGAGTGGCTTTACTCTTAGAGACAGGATACAAAATGAACATATACGTGAGAAGGTTGGAGTAGCTCCCGTGGAAGATAAGATTAGAGAGATTCGTCGTAGATGGTTTGGTCATATAAAACGGTGGTCTTCCCATGACCCGGTTAGGAAAGTAGATGTATTAGATTTGACTTGTGTTAAGAAGGGGAGAGGTAGACCTAAAAAGACTTGGCTAGAAAATATTAGAAAGGACCTTTCTTTATTAGATTTAAATGAGAATTTAACTTTTAACATGGCAAAATGGATAAAAAGGATTCAGGTAGCCGACCCCACATAGTGGGATAAAGGCTTGATGTTGTTGTTGTTATGGAGAAATCTCTCACCCTATCCATCAAGATTTGAGTTAATAAATTTAATATGATTTCTTATTGATATCTCTTCTTGAACGAGGAAGATAATAGGTGTTAATGGCCCTTCAATAATGTCTTCGACATGTCGACTTCTTACTTTTAAGGTTGACATGTTATCTGAGAGTGTCAAACTTCCTTATTCTAAGGTTTGGATTCTAAATTATGTAAATGTTAGCTAAGTGTCCCTGAAGTATCAGGCGATTGATTTCTTCTTTCAAGTGAATATTTTTTTGTAAATGATGTCAAGGGTGATGAAAGTGACAAAAGGGTTTAATCTGCACCATTCACATATTTCAACAACTTTGGCCATTGGAATTTAATGTTTTGAATTTTTATAATGATATTAGCTCTAGCTGTGTTTATTGATCATTGATATTGCTCTAGTCGACAAGGTTAATTTGTATCAGTATTTAGTTTCATCTTTTTATGTTATTGGTCAACACCAAGGTGTTATATCAGTATTTAGTTTCATCTTTAGGTGACTCTCCCTCATTTTGATGAATGTCATAGAAATGGGAAGAGTCCTTGACTATTTTCTGGTTAACAATGAATTGGTCGATAAAAATTTAATAATTCTGTTTGTGTTATTAGTACCATGGGGAACATCTATAGTTGAGCACGTAGAGGCATTCATATCTATTTGAAACATTAAGGTTTTGATTGGATGGCTCTAGTTGGTATAATTCATGGAGACACGAGATTTCAGTCTCTGACTCCATACCTGGAATATGATATTTGAGTGTCAATATAAAAGTATTTTGAATGGTCGCATTCCTCCCCAAATTAGGCAGGGGAGCCGCTAAAGCCTGGCTACACTATCCTTGGTTTGTTTGTTTGTTCCTTGAATCGTGTGAGGTAAATTATGATGTCCCAGTTTTTCGTATGTTGTGTTGGCTTTTCATTTTGTCAATTAGAACTTTAGCTATGAAGCATCGAGTTCATTAGCTTTGACTGATTATAGAGTGCAATTAGTTAGTGAAAGTGGAGAACTTTTTCACATATAGTGTTAGATTACTGTGTGCCAAAAAATGTCAAAAGGCAATGTAGATCTTTAGGATATGCCATTCACAACAACCACACTCATTTATATGGGCCCTGAAAATTTGAGCCCTGTCCTCTTCTGCTCTTTCTTTTTTTCGGTGAGGAGAGTTTTAATGAGTTTATATCCCGGTTTAAATTTTCAGAAGACAGATTGAATTTTTAGATAAAACACTACCCAGATACTTTTCCCTCATTTTACGAGGATTTTATAATGTGAGTTTTGGTTTCCTATAGGTGCAAGTCCCTATAGTTTAGATGATTGATATATTATTATAATTCGTTAACATAGTTCCCGATGACAATAATTCATTTACCAAGGACTACGTTTTTACCCTACATTAAACTTTGCTAATATAATATATTCAATAAGGTCAAATTGGGCAAAAAGAAGTCTCGCAAGTCAGAAGCCGAGTGTTTACCTTTCCATTCAGTTTGTTTCGCCAACTTTCTATGGTCATACTGGCTTTCTTGTCAAGGTTATTTATATTTTGTACAAGAGACTTGGCCATTATAGTGATTTTTAATTTGTTTGAAATTAAATAAAAAAATGTACCGCTATACTTTATCTAAGCGTCTTTACAATGTCCTCCTCAATATTCCATCTTGTTCTTGCCTTGATTTGCTCTTGTTTGAAGTTACATTCAAAAAAAATTTCCCAGAGGGTTGATGCTTGAGTTCTCTTATTTTCAACCTATGCCATTTTCGTTTTATATTAACTGTAAGGCCTGCTACTTAGATAAAATGGCATGAATTTATCTTATGTTGATTGATAAGAATAAAAATAAACTTGCAAGGTGTGGAGTCTCGCCTCGCGACACTATCACTTGATACAGATGAGTTGGAAAAGTTTTCTGCTATCCAGTCCAGATCCGAAATTCCAGGCAGCCTTCAGCAGGGCAATATCCTAGAGATTGTAACCACTATACCTTTCTTCTTCAACACTCTCAATGTGCGCCGCGCAATCATCCCAGCTGCCAATGGACATTGCTCTGCTCGTGCTTTGGCGCGCTACTATGCTGCTCTTGCTACCGGCGGAAATATTCCATCTCACTCTTCCCTCTCCAAACCGCCCCTCGGCGATCTCCTCCACATTCCAAAATTCCCATCTGCGAAGGCGAAGAAAAAGAGCAGAAGTTGCAATATCAGAACACCCAGCATGGGTTGTAGTATCTTCAGCCACAATGATGATAGCATAAACTACAACCTTGTTAGCAACATGGTGGAAGAGGACACAAAACAGTGCATGTTCAACAACCCAAACATTCATGATGCATTCATGGGATCTGGCGATTTCTCGAACTTGGTCTTCGCAGAAGGTAAATTTGGGCTTGGTTTCAGGACGTTCAAGTCGACCGAGACCGATTCCCATGATACGAAAACCTTTGGACACTCGGGTATCGGCGGCTCTACCGGTTTTTGCGACGTGGAGCATAATTTTGCAATTGCAGTGACTGTCAACAAGATGTCACTTGGTGGTGTCACAAGAAAGATAATTCAGCTAGTTTGTTCTGAGCTAAAGATTCCACTGCCTCTTGAGTTTTCAGAGCATGGAGAGAAAGGACCAGATATGCAGCTTAGTTTACAGCAATCTTGAAAAGTATCAGAAGCCAGAGAACGATGATAAGCAAGGTATATACAAGGGATATACGTTGTAAAATATAGGACAAATTTTCAAATTCCCTGACTCAGCAATACCTGTTAGATTATACCGTTAAGTAACAAGTGTAATTCATGGTTAAAGAGGACTGTACTGGTTAATTTATCATTTACCATATGATCTGTGCTGATCAAAATGGATATTTAGTAAATTCAATACATGATAAAACAATACATGGCGAAATTGGAAGATCACAATTGATTCTGTTTATCATTATTATTACTATTATTTATGCTTCATATTTAACAAAGTAAATTGCAGATTGCATGAGCAGGTTATAGCCTCTTTTGGTTATGCTTTTCTACTGATTTGTGTTAACAATTTTTTGTTACTAGTTTATCATGTTACTGACAATGGCAGAGTATGTTATCTATCTTACGATTGCAGTTCTGTTCTTATTTTATCTCATTAATAAAAATTTGTTATGATAATTTTAGTTATATTTTTATTGTTTAAATGAAAAAATTATTAAGTATATCACAGCTAACTATAATTATTAATATTTATTTACAAGTGCAATAAATACATATGAATAAAAATTAAAAAACTTTAAAAATCAAAATTAAAATTTAATAAAAAATATTATTTTGTTTAATATTTTTAAATAAATATTACAAAAAAAATTAATTCACATCCTTGATATAAATAGAGGAATACAAATGAGTACTTAATAAATGTAAAGGAAGGCTAAGAGGCATTAGGGAATTTAAAGAATTTATTCATTTATTTGTTTAAATGAAAACTAATTACATGTTAATTATTTTAAAAATTACTAATTAATCATTAAAATATAATAAATCAAAGGCTATGATTCAATTTGAATAGTTAAAATGAAAGGCTAGAATTTTATTTGATAAGAAAATCAAACGCTTTTATAATAGTAGTATAGATTTATTAATTAGTTATAATACAATAAATGGACAAGATAATTTTAGAAGAACTAAAACGGATGACCAAAATTTAAAAAAATAAAAAAGTTGTTCCAAACCAAGCCTAAATATTTGTAAACCAATAAGGACCTATTATTTAAAAGTAGCATATGATTACTAATTTATGATCACAACCTATCAATTTAAAAATATAATCATAGAAATTTATTAACTTTTGCTATTATTAGCTTATTTTTTAAATTATAAAGGTTATGTAGAAAATTCTACGTACATGGAATATATGCACACACATACTTACAAACAAACATATATATGATAATTTAAGTATAATTAGTAAGCTATTTGAGTATAAAAACATTTTGAAATACCTTTTTATATGCTCGATTTGTTTAGTCATTTTATTAGTCATAATTTTTATCGCATTTTACTTGCAATCTTTTAATTTTTCATTCATTTATTTTGTAACCAAAAGCAAGGATCAATTTTAATGTGTAAATTTTATATTAACAATATGAGTTTAATTAAATAGTTATTATGATGTATAACTCTAAATAAAATCATAAATAAGTTTACATATCATATATAATTTAATTCTAAAAGTAGTTAAATAGATAAATTTTATTTAATTTATATTACATTAAAAATTCTTAGGTGAGTATTACATTAAAAAATCATTAAAAATTTAAAATGATTCATCTATATTGAATAAAAATTATAAAAAACTTCTATTTAAATCTTATTATTTTATTTTAAGCGGCATAAATATCACTCTTAATAAAGATATTATAATTATAGTGACTCTTAATGAATAATATAAAATACATTTAAACTAATATATATTATATTAAATAATTCTCATTATTATTTTAAATTTACAACTAAAGGATGCAGTAAATATAAAATTATCTTAAATATATATTAAAATTCGATGCCACATAAGAAATAAAAAGGAAATATTAAATTAAAATTAAAACCGATAAGTTTCTAGAATCTATAGTTCACTCTCATGATATACAGATACATCCCAAAAAATCAATGACATCTGATTAATATGTAATTAGTGATTATGCGATGATATATTATATTAAATAAAGCTTAAACAAGATTTTATTCGGATAACTAATTTTAAATGGATAAATAATGAATGCTAATCAAATATTAATTATTTTATTCCTTATTTTAGATTTAAAAAATAAATAAAGCATCAAAGTACATTTTATTTTAAGTAAATAAAATAAAGAATATCATAAATAAATCTGAAACAAAATAGCCTTTATTGCTTACAGTTTCATCGATTCGGCGCTTCGCCCTAACAATAAATTGCGCGGCTGTTCAGAGTGCAACCCGTTCCGGCGGCAGCAGATAGCGGCGGTAGATTTTCTCTCCCTTTCTCACTTCTCACTAGCAGGTAAGCTTTCCTCTCTATCAAATACGCTGATTTCTTGATTCAATTGGCATTGTTTTTCCCATCCTTGGTTTCTGAGTTTTGGCGTTCTACAGATCAAATGCGCGATTTAGTTTTTATTTATTTAGATCTGCGATTGAATTATTTGTTTCTGATGGAAATGATGATGATCGGCTTCTACTGGTGATATTATATGGCTTCAATGCTGTGCCAATAGATCTGCTGTTGACTTTGTTCGTATTTACAATTTTATTTTATTTTTTCTTAAAAGGACGGATTCCTATGTTTCAGGCATGGTGAGACTTTCAATATGTATTTTTGTTCTGAGATATCTGATAAAATAATTTTGTTTCTTGTTCTATGGATTGATTTTCTGTATTGCTATGATTTGAATCCCTTGTATGATTTCAATATGCGTTTTTTAGATTATTCTTTCATGCTATGTTGTTCTACTGGTATCCTGGGTTGATCTTCCAATTGACCGCATCAATGAATAGATGAGGATTTTTTTTTGCTTGTCTGTGGTACTTAATTGTCACTGATTATGAGGATTTTCAAATTCCTTTTCTGCAATTGGTTTTATTTTTCTTAAAATGTGATTGAAGCCTCAGAGTATGTTTGGTTACAAATCCGGCTTAAGCTTTCTTGGCTAATTGAGAAGCTTAGGAGCTTAGTTAGTAAGGAAATTAACAAGTAATAATCTGGCATAATACTTAAATTATTTAAAGGCTATGGTGAGCTAACATTTTAAGCTGTGTGGGAAGTGGTATGTATGTGCAATACTCGCTAACAAAGAAGAAGATGCAATATTCCAAAGCTGAAATGAAAACAAATAAACAACCTAATGATTCTAATATAGAAAATAATGTACAAAAATGGCCTAACATCTAATAATGTGCAAAATAGTTGACATTAACTAGTAGTCAATTGATTGTGAATGTGGGTTAGTTGCCTAGCCAAAATTTTGAATGAGGTGGACGATTTGTATCTATTACCATTTGTAAAAAGAAATTGCTTCCCAAGAGTTTATGTTGCGGTACTCATCAAGGAGATATTGTTGTATATATTGTAATTTTTCACGAGTAATCAAGGAGTTGTTGGCAGGTGTGGGATGTCTCCAAAATATGAAGGCAAGGCTATTGTGCATAAATTCCCACAATGACTTCTTTTATGATTGTTTGCTTCATATTATAATAGGCTATCACATATTGTGTTGCTGATATTTGCGCAGCTAAGATTATAAGCTTGTCCTCTAGAAAGAATCAGCAGAAAATATCAAAGACTTAATATTCCTTTTATTCTATTGAAAAAAAATTCCACATTGAATACTAAAATTATATCAAATGGACAATTCAATATATATTCATTGTTTGAATTGTCTTAATAGTTTGAGAAGGACCTAAAGATCACGCCTAGAAAATTTTGAAGTATTAGGCAGGAAGTTTTCAAGACTGATATGGTTCTTATTTCACGTCATTTTACTCTTGAGCATTTTATGAGCATTAGACATGATTGGTATTTATTGTGATTTATGTCAAGTTGCTTACAAACACTAACATCTAACTTATCAAATACTTGACGAGTGATGCAACTGGATTAGAATATACATATTATGAAAGAGGAATGAGATTTAGAGACACTCGATGACTGATTCCATGAACAACTAAAACGTGATTCAAGTGTAGATTTAATAATGGTACTGTTTGTTGCATGCAAATTTAGCAATCAGCAAATATAGGTCCCAATTATCTAATTTTTTTTCAACAAGACACTGTTTTAAGCTCTTACTTACAAACTGTTTGATCATCTATAAAGTTGAGGAAAACTTTAGGGCAGTGTCCAAACGTTTTCATGGAACTTTCCAAGAATGGCCAATGAAACACATGTCATGGGCAACACTAAATGAGATTGATAAGCTGTGCGGATACATATCATATTCACTAAATGTGATTTGTGCACCGCGGGAATGGACTATATCCTTGATGAACAACTTTGCTATGTGAGAAGCATTATTTAGAGCATGGGATAAAGTGGCACTTTTAGATAAGTGATCCACGATAACTAAGATCAAGTCATGAAAATGCTTAGTTTTTAGAACTTAGATGAAGTTCATGAAATGATTCATACTAATGAGCATTTTTATTTAGTTGTTCAAGACGTGATAGATCCAGAGGCAAACCTCAGTAACTGCCAATTGTCATTGTGTTTATCTGTGTCATTATTACATGTTATGGACATATCTTTATTAGTTTTCATTACGGCCTCATATGATTCATCTTTTAACTTGCTCTGTGGTAGGATAAGCTATCAGAGAGCATGCAGATTGCTTTGGTAAATTTTTTTTTTGGAGTTTTTCCCATTTTCCCCATAATTTGCATAAAAAAGCTTTTTTTTTTTAAATTGCAAAATAATGTCTTGCCCCAAGAAGGAGCTTTTATAACGTTCTGATTGAAGAATAGGTAAACATAAGCCATGCCAACGAAGCCTTGGCAGTTTGTGTTTTTTATTTTTTTATTTTTTATGATATCTTAGTGTTACTCATTACCTAAGGGAATAAAATGATACAAAATTGTAAGCTTCTCTAAAGGAGCTTTGATCAGCATATGTCACAAATCCAATGGTATCCATGGCTCTAAATCATCAAACTACTTAGTGTGGAGTACATAATTGGTTCATGAGGAGGTGAAGAATGGGTTTCTTTAATCTGTATGGAGGAGGAGGTGGACTAAGGGTTAAGTTTAACAGCCAAAGAGTTAAGGCTTTGAAAGAACATATAGGAGTAATATTCATTGTAAAATCATTTCTTAGTTTTGATACCAAATTGGTGGTGAAGTAGAAGCATAAAGCATGGAACCTGAGAGGAAGAAGTGTACTAACCGAAACTTGCAAGTGCATATAGGAGGAAGTGAACATGGTAAATGAATAAAGCAAAAGAAACCCCGTACGAAGCTTAGAGATGATCTATGCACATTGTTTGTATATGAAGATTAGGCATAAAATAACCTCATAGTGTTGTCTTAAGTTCACATGAAGGTGCTTTTGGTTTTTCCAGAAGCCCTATACCTTCTATTTACCAAGGGATGCTTAGAAAGTACAATTTTAAAACTCCCGTTATAATAGATAGATAAACAAACCATGTGAATAGGGATGCAAACAAACCGAGCCGAGTTGAGCTTTGGCATGTTCAAGTTCGAGCTAGTTTGACATGACCCTGTTTGAGCTCGACTGCATTTTATCCATGTTCGAGCTCGTTTAATAAATACTTGTTCGAGCTTAGCTCGTTTTTGTGTTAGGTTCATTTTAGGCTTGTCGAGCCTATTGGCGAGTGGCTCATTAACAACTCGTTTATTAAAATAAACGAACTTAATCGAGCAGATCGCTGCAGAGGATAGAGAGACGGGTAGAGAATTGCAAACACTCCAATCATATTTTTAGTTATATAAAGCAAAACTAAAACATTTTAAAGCAATGTGGGACTAAACTTTCCACAGTTTTTTTTTGTTTTGCGAGTAGAGGAGAGAGAGGCCAGAGGAGGAGATATATTATTTTATTAAGTAATATACTATAAGTGATATATTATTTTATTTTATTAAGTAATATATTATATTTAGTGAAAAATAATTATTTTATTAAGTAATATATTATATTTCATTTTATAATTAATTTATTAAGTAATAAATTCATGTTATACGTTATTAAATTAGTTAAATTAATTTAAAACTATTTATTCATTTCAAGCTAATTGGAGGATAATACGAGCCTTAATCAGGCTCTAATCGAGCTTCTTAACAAGCTTTAAATGATATTGTTTGTGAACATAAATGAATCGAACGACAAGCTGTTCAAGCTCGCTTATTTAGCTGTAGAATATTTATCAAAAGTATTCAAGCTCGTTCGTTTATCTTATCAAACGAACATAAATGAGCTCTTATCGAGCCAAGCCACGAGCAGCTTGTCGAATGCTCGGTTCATTTGTAGCCCTAATTTGAAAGATTAAAATGCTCATAAACCAAATGAAAAAAAAAAAACATCCAGATGGAAACGGTTGAAGTTAGTAATGTCCATAAGATGTAATAATGACACAGCTTAACAGAGTGAACAACTTGTAATCAATTGGATCTTGACTATGTATTGAAAGTGAATGATTGGATCAAGGAGTTATGATTACATTATCTCCAAATGTAGTTATACAAGATGTGACGTGTTAGAATTATGTATGCGTTGACTGCTAAAGGAAATGTTTTCATTTGAATTGAAATTGTTTGATTTTCCTCCCAGAAGCCATACTGGTGTTCAACGACATATGGCAATTCCTTTTATTATGGTTGAAAAGTTTCTATTAACTTGTATGCACTTTTTGTGCTTAAGTTTGGTAGTTGCGTGTTGATGATTATAATATCTAAATGGAGATGACGTGGGCTATATTTGTATACATGATCTCAACAGGAAAATATTTCCTTGCATGTACAATCAATTGAAAAAAAAAAGGATTCATGTTGCCGACCCCACGGAGGGGGATAAAGGCTTGATACAATCAACTCTAAAGAAACGCATTGCTAAGCACAGTTATGTGCATATGTATCTTACACTAAGGGATCCATACTTCATCTTCATTAATTGTTAGACTTACTGTGCATGTCTGCAATTGATCTTTTGCTATTGAACTAATAAAATCAATCTGCTTTCCAATGGAAACAACCTCTATTTTTTGTGCTGTGAATTTATTCTTAGCCTCTGGCCAGACAGTTGTTGGCAGATGTGTCTTATTTGTTGCCCCATCATCATCCTTCAAAATATCAGTGGATATTGGGATTGCTTTGGGCATAAGTTGTATTGCCTTGTCCCCATTAGTTGGCTTGATGTATCTAAAATATAGACTTTTGCTTGTGATAGATAATTGAACACCCAACTAGCAATTTCTTAAGGTTTAGAAAGGTCCTCAGATTTGACAATAGAATGACCCATGAGAACGCCTTATAGACTGTCAGGTGCGTTTGAAGGAATGAGTAACCTACATTTATGTATGTTGAGTAAATTTTGGGGTTCGCATGTGAAAACTTATCAAGGTGAGCATGCAAAAACAATTGTATGCATACATAAGAGGCCCCACTAAGACACCATTAGTGTACCGTGGCCAAAGTATGTTTTGTAATGCATTCATGGAGTCTTCAATTTGCAGATCCACTGGTTCACGATCAATTGTAATTTGCTCTAAAAAATGTAATTCTCTTCTAAAATTGTTAGGTAATATCTTATTAATGCTATTGTCATCATTGTAGGGATTGTCCTAAGCTGTAGAAAAATATATACATTCATGAAGAGTTGTAAAATGATGCTATACTGCTGCAGATTAATAGAAGAAAATGTCACAAGGAAATTTTGAGGTGTGGCAGAGAGTAAACAATAATGCAATATAACGCCCAACAAACATTGACAATATGTCCGAAGCATGCATGGGTTCTTAAGCTCCATAGAATCCACTCTCACTGTGAAGGATCATACACCTGAGGTTATTGAACTTTTTCAAAATGGTGCCAATGTACCGCATGCTGAATTAAGCACTTCAAACATGCTTTTAAATATTGCATGAGTGTTGCCCATATTGTTGTCACTCTCAAGCACATTAAGCAAGCCATTAAAGCCATAAAAACGTTAGGAGGTCAATGATTTTAAGTTTCACCCAGCAATCAACCTTGTTGTACTGATGGCTAGCCTAAGGATTTTGTCAGCTTGTTCTATGCGACTAGGAGTGAAATCTATGTATACTCTTGTGATCTCTGCAATATTTTCTTTATCTCGTTTGAAATTGTATGCTGGCAGTGATTCTCACTGGGAGTGGCATTTGAGTTGAAGGTTCTTCCATTAATTGTCGCTGACCTAGATTGGTCTCCCCCAATGTCAACTCATTTTATGTTGAAGAGATAGAAGTTAAACTCATTATCTTGCAATCCATGCGTACATTAATCCTCTTTAATTTCTCCAAATTTGGGCTTCTTTTATTGAAATTATTCTTTGTTGCATGAGTAATAATGCCATCCTTGAAATATAATGCATTCATCATCGAACGAAAATTTCTATAAAATGTTTGCAAGAATGAGTCACTCTCAAGTTAATACATGCAAAATGCCATTGAATTAGCCTTCAAGTCTATCATCCAAAAGGAAAAAAAAAATGTTTAAGAGGTCCTATTGCTGACTCTTTTAGCCTAAAACGAGTATATCCCATTGTAATCTCTTCCTGGAATTATCTTCTGGTTATCAGATTTGTTGCTTATGGTGCCAGCCCCAAACTAGTCCTCTTCGATAGCTGATGAAGCTTCTTGAAGAGGTCCTTCCATCTTTTGAACTGAATTTTGATTTCTTAGTGCTGTAACAGTGATTGATTTGTTTAGATTATGATTTTCCCCAAGAATGTTGCGGGTGATTCCCACTAGGCTTATTTCAGGCCACATTTTTCTATAGCCATAGATCAGCAAGCTCCTTCTTGTGCCTGTCTTGTCAGCTGGAACTCATTGATTGTCAGAACTACATTCTGATTTTTATTTTCGTTCTTGCGCTAGATAGGAAACTTTACTTCACCTTAGCTGCACCCCCACCCCTATGATCCGGAACGCCTACCTTCCTTTAAATCCTACTCATGTTCACAGAGGATAGGTCAGGTTCTGCCCATGATTTATAGAAAGATCCCTGTTTAGTTTGCTAGTTGCAACAAAGAGTTAGAATATTCTTATTACTTTAATATTTTGGCTCAATTTGGAAAGAAAAACAAAATTGTAGGCCATGCTATAGTTCAAATAATATGTTTAACATGAGCACTGATATTGAATGTGAATAACTTTAGAGCATGTTAAACATGGCGAATCAGTTCATTCTTTGCTTGAGGATTACTTTTCCATTGATCAAAAGTATGCATCATCACTGCCAACCATACATAGAGATCCCCAAAACATTGATTATCAACCAACAACAACATTTATTTGATATTAATGGGTTATGTCAATGCTTAATTTATTTTATTGTAAGTATGTCAGAGAAGTCAACAACAAGATTTTTTTGTTATTAATGGGAAATGTAACTTATATCGAAGAAATGATAATATGCATCATTGTTTAATCTATTCTATAGTCATTATCTTAGATACGTCATTTGTCAAAGGTGACGAAGCACTAATATATCACGAAAAGGGATCCATGTTTATGGAGCATTCAAAGAATGAATCATATAATAACATGTTGGAGAAATGTAATGCATAATTTAAAGTTTGCAAGTGGTAGAATACTTTCTTACTGCAGGCAACCTGCCTAAAATTTCTCTAAATTCTTCGTGTATCAAATAATGGAAGTATGAAGAAAAAATATAGACATCATGCTTAATAAATGATGCAAGGGGGTTGCCATTACTTTTGATCATATGACTAACTGCATGTCTTAAATAGTTGAGATGTCTGTCAGTGCATGTTATGGGAGTTGAAATTATCTTTCCCTTAATCTAACACTGCAGTTATTGAAAGCAAAAGAGGTTCACATGTCTAGGGAAATATCCAAGTATTTCCAAATGCAATTTCATATTTTGTAGACAAAGCAGCACATATCACATTAGGATAAGAAGGAATCCCTTAATAGTTAAAAGGCTAGAACTCAGTTGTTAATAGCATTTACCACTCATCTCTTGTTTGGCAAGCTATCTGATGAACAATCCAACAAAGTTCATTGATAGTGCTTGATGAGCCCAAAGAAACACCCCTTTACTGCACTTATATTCACTACAAGAAACAATTTTGTTATTGCTAGGCCCCGCAATTCCTGTGTACTCATCTCCTTCCCTGCCGCACACCATGCATGTTGCTGGCATCTACCATATTTACTTGCCAGGTTCTGAAAATCCCTTGATTGGGCTATGGAAAATTCTTTAATACCAATATCGCAATGGAGTTACAAGAAGAGGAAAAGAATGGCATTGCTAAAAGTTTTCTAGTAAAAAGGATTGACTTATCGAATGAGAACAAATGTCTCCATTACTCTTGAAAACCCTAACAGACAAAGACAAAGCCGTAGCAGAAGAGCCCGTGGATTGAACATAGCGATGTATTCCACACAGGGGATAAAAAAAATTGTAGGGAGATCAAGCATGCATCTCGGCAGTAGAAATTTCCTTTCTGGCTTGCCAACTTGATGAAGACAATGAAAGCTATAAAGAAAGGAACAAAATGCTTGAAAACCTGAGAAAAGGTTAGGGGATAATTATAGGCTGCTTCAGGTTTGGAAAAACTATATTGAACTTTTCTATGGATGGATGAGGGCCAAAATGTCATTTGGTTGGCGTAGCTGGCTTAAGAAAGCTTAAGCCTTCCTTAAGGTCCAACCAATGACCCCTCAGGTCAAAGAAAGAATAGCTTTTCTGTGCATTGAATATAGCAAAAATACTATTTGGCAAGGGAGATGGGAACATACTATTTGTCAGGCTTAAGCCAACTTGTTGTCACGTTAATCTCAAACGAACATTACCTCTAAGAAGTATACGGTGATATATTTGTCTAGTAATTGTTGACATTTTTTTAACATCTTTGTTTGGAGTTGCTCTTGACTTCACAAGTGCTGCTTAATTTGGTTTTGGTTAGGTTCTAAAGAACCGCCTGGCTCCATAAAATAATTCTAATGTGATTCTAAAGAACCGCATGGCTCCATAGAATAAGTCCAATGATGTTTATGATTACACAGATCCTAGTCAAATTGTGAAGGAAGTATTTTGGTCGATTTTATTGATAGGCTGTAAGCTTTTTATAATATGAGAAAGCTTTTCATGAAGAGCCTATGCTTCCCTTCTCATGCTTTACCTTTTTGTTTAGATAAATCGTTCTTGTCAATTGATTTATTATTTGCTTCCTACTACGTCTATTGAACTGCATTTTTGAGAGATTTCATCATGTGCTTACCGAAGTGTGTGTGTATATATATGTATATATAAGAGAGAGAGAGACCGAGATTTCTACTAAGAGATATTCTGCTGTCATACTATGTTCTCGTTATTTTTTCTGTCATCATCTCGTTATTATTTTGCATTATGTTTTGTTTTCTAGAAAATGGCGGGACTTGCAGCAGAAGGGTCTCAGTTTGATGCTCAACAATATGACACAAAACTGAATGAGCTGTATTAAATCTTCCAACTTTCCAAAAACTGAAAAAAGATCTTATTATGATATTTTTATACGGAAACTTATGAGTTTTTTATGTGGGTGTGTTTAGGCTTACGGCTGATGGAGAGGACTTCTTTACATCTTATGATGAGGTATATGAAAGCTTTGATTCTATGGGCCTTCAGGAAAATCTTCTGAGAGGCATTTATGCTTATGGTATGTTGATCAGACGTTCACCCTTTCAATGCATTCTATGTACCATGTAATTTTATGTGTAAAAGAACTTTGCCTTTGGTATAGGCATGTTATTATTATGTCAAGTTAAATTGTTTCTACTGCAGGGTTTGAGAAACCTTCTGCCATTCAGCAAAGGGGAATTGTTCCTTTCTGCAAGGGTTTAGATGTTATTCAACAGGCACAATCTGGTACCGGAAAAACAGCAACATTTTGTTCTGGAATTCTGCAGCAGCTTGATTATGGTTTGGTTGAATGTCAGGCCTTGGTTCTCGCTCCTACAAGAGAACTGGCCCAACAAATAGAAAAAGTTATGAGAGCACTTGGTGATTACCTTAGTGTGAAAGTTCATGCTTGTGTGGGAGGTACCAGTGTTAGGGAGGATCAGCGCATACTTTCAAGTGGAGTTCATGTTGTTGTTGGTACACCTGGTCGTGTGTTTGACATGTTAAGAAGGCAGTCTCTTCGCCCTGACTACATCAAAATGTTTGTTTTAGACGAAGCAGATGAAATGCTGTCTCGCGGCTTCAAGGATCAGGTTTTGTTTTTTATGACTTTCTTGCCTACCCTCCAATGATATTATATGATTTCTATAATGTCCTACCTCGGGTTCCCAGAATTTTTTGTTTTTTGTGTATTCATAATGTCAAATTTCCCGTAGGCAAACAGACATTACAAGTTATATTCAGTTTATTCCATAATGTATAGAATATTGAATTTTCTTCCCCAACCGTACATCCACACCAACACAACCACCACCCAAAAAAATGAAACATAAATGTCTATTCCTTCCAATCTCACTTCTCGTTCTTCAAGGTTTTGTGCAACCTACTAGTACTTGCTTCCTATGTACAACTACTTAAAGAGTTGTTAACTTTGGAACTCACCATGAGCATTTCACTTTTGTATATGATTTCTACAATGGTTCTCCTAATTCACTGATTTCAATGTCTGGAAAATTTCAACTTCAAACATATTTTGGTTCTGCTTAAAGTTTTAACCTGATTCGTGCAAATTGATAACTGTTTATGCTAATTTTGATGGATGTGATTGTTGCATATTTGTTTGGCAGCAATGCGTGTACCCAATAGCGGATTTGACTTATCAACCTGAGGCAAAAATATGTAATAATTGATCTGTCAACATATATGCAAGCCTATTAGAATAAATCTGTGTTTTGTTCTATTTTTATTTGCTTTGTAATTTCTTTATACAATTGTTGCATGCAACATCTAGAACATGCCAAATTATTTGACGTCATCCTGCAGTCGATATTACATCAACTCCCGAGAAATTTCTTCTGCAAAAGGCTATTTAATACATTTTCCATGCCATCCATAATCTCCACGTAGTCATGGTCAGAAAATTTTAGGTTACACGATACGGTTCTGTACTCTGACGTGAATAGAACTGTTTTTGCAATAGTATTATGTTGGAGTTGTAACTTATGGTTGTCTGTACATCATATTCAATAGCATATTTTGAAATACAATAGATTTATTTGTGTAAGTAAAAATACCATTATGCTAGTTTATGCATAAAAGCATTACATGTTCACAAATAGTTTGTAAGTTGTAACCATATCATCATCAACTACCTTAGATTTATCTCAATTATTTCTTATCGGCTTTATCCCTGTTATTTCTTATCGGCTTTATGAACCCTCATGTTTTTGTTCTTGTTGAAGTTTACTTGACATGTTAAACCTATTATGCACAAATCCTTTTGAAGAACTTCCCTCCCCGTTATCTCAAGCCTACATATTTTATTTCTGATCATTTGGCTCTAATTTTATGTGCTTGTCAAATAGATGTTTTCTCTATCATTTGTTTTACATGTCTTAACCACCAATGTCTATTTTCAATTGATATTCATTCAACCATCCTTTTTAATATATATTTCTTAATTTATCCATCCAGGTTTTTTCACTATCTATCTTAAAACTCTCATTTTTCATTGTGAAATTTCAAAACTTTTTTTACAACACTCAAATTCATGTAACAGCCATCCATATGTGGTAGGTTTTAGTACAGTGGACCTATTATATAGAATAATTAAGATACAAATGATGATATTACTTCTATAAGTAAGATTGGATGGTAAAAATAAAGAAAAGCCTCAAAAGCACTTTTTTACTTGTCCTTGTTCTATTAAATCTAAGCATTTTCTTCATTAAGCTTTCCACTTATTTCAGTAGAGATGTCTCGTTGATTATAATTATAGTATCTATAAAAAACATAAATCAAAGCACATCACTTTTAATTTCCTTTATAGCATCTTAATACCAATTTAAAAAGATATAAACTTAATGTAGATCCTTGATGCAATCCTACTATATTTAAAAACTCTTTGGCCACTATAATCACTTATAATTTAGTTCATATCATAATATACCTTGGGCACACAATTTTTTCTTAATGCGCCAAATCAAATCTTATGGTGCTCGATTATATACCTTTTAAAGATCAATAAAATTATATCAACGTTCTTTCTTAATTTTCTATATTTTTCTTTAATTTCCTAACGCAAAATTCACTTTCACATCGGATATGCATAGCATCAAATCAAATTTATTTTGATTCATTACTTTCTCTCATAACTTCAATGCATGCCTCATAAGTTTAATTTATTTATAATCACTACAATAATGAGCATTTTCTTTGTTCTTAAATCTTAGTATCAAAATACTTTTTTTTTCAATCATTTTCTATCCTTCAACCTCAAATTTTCATTATAATATTTGTTAACTAAATTATTATAGTGTCCTTTGTGACATTCCATTTGAATCAAAGGAATTACTTTTATGCATATTCTTTAAAGCTAACTCATCAAATTTCTCTTTGTTGATCACGCTATAATATCCCTTATTATGTTGTTTTGCTCTTCCCAAGTATATTTTCCCTTAGACTCTCATTTAATAATTTCTTAAAGTAGCACTTGCATTTTTCTTAATGTCTTTGTCATTAATTAGGATTTTATTATATCCACTTCTAACCATATAATTTGATCAAAACCTAGTTCTCTCATCTCTTGTTTTAAGCTATTTTATAGATCATTTTATCCTTAGTACCTTAAATTTTATGCATATCATTAAAACTTGTAGTTTAGCTTTGCTCACCATCCTTATTACAGGACTTCTAACTTTCTTAGTCAATATAGGCTTCAATAATATTTATCTTTAGTTTTGTTCATGCTTTAATCATTATATCCAAGTCACCCAAGAAATTTCTTTTCTTTCTCAAGCATACATTATAATGTTTATGAATCTCTTTTAAAAATTATTTTCTTATCCAACTCAAAGAGTAGAAGCACCAAGACATTTGTATGTCCTCATAGTTAATTAGTTAAATAGCAACCACCCAATTAGTATCAATAATCCTATTCACCTTAACAACTCTATCTTTCATCTCTATTCATTACCATTCCATCATAATTTTTTAAAATATTTTTAACACACAATCACTTGTAACCTTTCATAATGTCTTTTTTTTTTCTTTATAATTTGTTGTCTTACAAAAATCTATATTTATTTTTAATGCTAACCTTGTGTCCACTATTTCTTTATATTTTTATTGAAAATCTCCAAATTATTATGACAATTTTAATCTAAGTCTTAGACATTGCCAATATCATAACCCTACCTGATATGACCCAACATCACACAGGTACACCATGTATGATTGTGTCAAGGCTGATCCTAAGATCTTGTTGGAGAAACATTGAAACAAAATTTCTAATGTATATACTACACAAAGCCACTACTGAATGCAATATAAGTGGAAGACTACTGAATCTCAAAATGATTTTTTATATATCATCTAAAACATATATAATCTGAAGTCTATCTACAACAGTGCTTGACAACAGAGAGAATAACAAAATAAAAGTTCACCTTGCAAAAATTAAAACTAACAGATTGGAGCATGTTATCCAAACTAATCAACTCGCTCCTTACACTTTCCCTGGCCATAAAATGAAAGCAGAAGTAGGAATGAGTTAACACAGCTTAGTAGGTTATCGTAGCCTAAAATAACAATCAATAACTGAAACCAAAAGAAACTTTCAAAATCACATGGCAAAAAAATTTCAGAATATATTCAAATTGTTCATGATCTCAATCTCTATTATATATAAAAAAGTTACGTGGTAAAAGTTCTATCAAAACAAAGTTATCCTCATTTTTCAGTAACAGACATACAAATTTGATCGGAAAAATTTCAAAAACATTAGATTATTGAAAACTGAATAGGCAAAACGTAATCTATCTCGAGACGAGTAAATTTCCCAACTAGGTCGAAGGACAAAAACGGTTCTACAACCTCCAAAACCTAGCTTCCTCTCTTCTTCCAACTCTTTTTCTTCACATTTCCCCTAAGTCTTCTCTGTCAAACGAATGGAAATAAAAAATAACATTTAATACATTATGTGAGTGACTTAAGATATTATATATATATAAATTTTTCAGTATAAAATTCTGATAGGAAATACTTGATTTCAAGTATTCCCTAATCACTTTAGCAACAAATCTCAAAGCGAATTGCTGTCCGCCGCAGGAAATCAGCCAAAAACAGTAGAAAAATAGAGGAAAACTGCAAGAGATGAGGAGAAAACACTTGTATTTTACTAGTAGACAATGAAAATAGAAAAGATACAATTAATCCTCAATTCGAGAGGAGGATCGATCTCTCCCAAATCTCTAGACGCCGCTAGAGCCCAAAGAAAACCTAAATCTAAGAGATCTCAAATTTCAGCCAAATTCAAGATACCCAAACCCTAGGAAAACAAACTATTTAATGCATACAAATCAAAAGGAAATCCCTAAACAGTCCCTACATTCAAATTTCCCTCTCAAAACCCTCAAAAAAGCTTCCTAAAAAGCTCCCATGGATCATGCGTGCGTGCGGCGCTTCCGCCCAGGCGAAATCAGTCGCCTGTTTTGCGACTCGGCCGGTCCCGTGCGGACCGGCTGGACCAGTCCACTGGACCGGTCTAACAAATTCACAAAAAATTTTTTTGGGATTTCAAAAATTATTAAAATTATTCATAAAATGGCTTATTTTATTTAGAAAATTATAGTAAAATCGGTTTGCAAAATGGATATCTAACGGTCCCAAGACCTCCACTTGTACCCACAGGTATCAATTTTGGAATTTAACCGGTGTCCTAAAATTATAGAAAAATTAGTTAAAAAACAACAATACATATGTCATGGTAAAGACGGCTTGTGATTTGGACTTATAATAATTCCCGAAATAATTTTTGACTATTAAAGAAAAAAATATCTTTTTCAAAATTTTGAGTTATAACACTTAAACCTTATTTTTTTCACTATGATTGCGTCAAGTAGTAGTGTGTCACTTGAAAGTGACACCCTAGTTAACCCTTGCTTACTTTTTATTATAATCATGTTAGTTGTTTCACTTGTGTGTATTGTCCTAACTAGCCACAGATTACTTTTCTTCCCAATCGAGTTAAGTTATGGCACATCACCTGAAATCTTAATAAATTCTCATCTACTTCACCAAATTTTAGTAGGTCGTAGTGCATTGCTTTTGGAAATTACCCTAGCACTTGGCAAATTCATATTTTGATTCATTTCGGTAGTTTTTTATAAGTTTTAGGAGAATTTTCTACCTTGCACAAACCCTCAACATTTCTTATCCAGGCTTCGGACCGACAATGCTAATTTTAAAAATGAATACTTAATACAGTAAACGGTATGTAAGGACATAAAAATAGTAAATACTAATTATAGCAACTTTTTCTTATATTTCAGAAGCGATAGTTACCTCATACTATTTGGCTTACCAACTATACTTTTTTTCTTAGCCAAAGGTATTAATGTTGCTATCCAACTCAGGATCCCCCAACTATACCAAGCATACCTAAGGTATGTGATATAGTTGAGACGTCTGTTTAGATATATGCTCTGTTGCTTTCTTCATTAGATTTTCTGCTACTGGTCTGGCCTATTGCTTGGAGTTGTAAATCTAGAAGATTTAAATAACTACTTCTGATTCCATCAATTTGCCATTTAAATTACTCAACCAACTTCACCCATTTTGAAACACTAATAAAGCTATGCATCTCTTTGTTCTTCTTAACTTTTTTTGTTGATGTTAGGTTTCTTGAAACCATCTATTTAACATTATATTATTCTACATTATATGAATGTAATCTAGATAGTTTCTATATAATTTGTCCATATTTTTTTGCATCACTTTGGACCATCACATATATAAACTACTTAATGAACGATTGAATGCAGTCAAATTTTGGAGTCCCTCCATTAGTTTTTTAACTTTTCCCCTCTATATGAATTGATTATTGCCTATATTGATGCTTTTTTTAATTTCAGATATACGATATATTTCAACTTCTTCCATCCAAGATTCAAGTTGGAGTTTTTTCTGCTACAATGCCGCCTGAGGCTCTTGAAATCACCCGCAAGTTCATGCACAAACCTGTGAGGATCCTTGTTAAGAGAGATGAGCTCACCCTTGAGGGTATCAAGCAATTCTATGTAAATGTTGATAAGGAAGAATGGAAGCTTGATACCCTCTGCGACCTATATGAGACCTTGGCCATCACTCAGAGCGTCATCTTCGTAAACACTCGTCGCAAGGTGGATTGGTTGACTGACAAAATGAGGGCCAGAGATCACACAGTATCTGCCACTCATGGGGACATGGATCAGAACACACGAGACATTATCATGCGTGAATTCCGGTCTGGGTCTTCTCGTGTCCTTATTACGACCGATCTCCTTGCCCGTGGCATAGATGTGCAGCAGGTCTCTCTAGTCATAAACTATGATCTGCCAACCCAGCCAGAGAACTATCTCCATCGCATCGGACGAAGTGGGCGGTTTGGGAGGAAGGGTGTTGCAATTAACTTCATCACCAGCGACGACACTCGAATGCTTTTCGATATCCAGAGGTTCTACAATGTGTTGATCGAAGAGTTGCCGTCGAATGTCGCCGACCTGCTCTGATGAGTTTTTGTTATTTCATCCTGTTCTTGCTTATTCGAAGTCACCGTCCCTTAGTTTTTTTGCATGTCTGTGGATCTCATCAAAACCTGTGGCTATTTATGTAAGTGAAGTTTGCATTTATTTCTAACTGATGATCTCAAAAGTAGACTACTGTGAGTATATTTGCAGATTTTTTGCAGATTTTTGTTGCTGCTCATTGGTATAGTTGTTGTCCCTTGGTAACCTCATAGATCTGTACCAGTCCTCGCTAGTTGTTTTATGTATTCAGGTTGATAAACTCTGCTTCTTTTATGCTCACTTTCATCATTTTAAGTTGATATTGAAATTGCTCAATGACCTCAAATTGTTCAAGTTCTTCAACTTCATAGCTGATCTTAGTTTCATTGGCCTTATCTTATTTTCCACATTTAACATTAGCATTAATTAAAACAATACATCATTTATAGCTTCACAATGAAGTTTTGCTTCAGTCGCATGGTCACACAGCGGTGCACGATTAAAAAGTGATGTGGGGTGTCCTGATTCGTCTCTGGACGGCGTTCAGTGACAGTACAGAATAATTTCACCTCGGAGAACCATATTCCACAAGCTCAACTCCAACTAGACATTTCTCATAGTTAAGCAGCTTGTCAATACGGAGCTCACTTTGATATGTTGGTTGAAAATTTAGACGATTATTTAAGAGATTTAAGTTTGAGTTTTACGTATATGATGTGTGTAAGAAATTGATTTAATTGACCTAAATGATCCAAAAAAAGAACAGCTTGCCAATTGCACCATATCGAGTGATATTCGTCTTACAATTTTAGAATAAAAATTATTTGAGTTGTTTCTTTGATGTATATAGACTTTGAGCATCATCTCTTATTTCTTCCAAGCTGTTCCCAATAAGCTCACAGCCACTTCGGCTTTATTTGGGACGATTTTTTTTTTTTTTAAAAATAAATTTTTAGTACAAAATTCTATTAAATTTAATTTTTTTGTACTAAAAAATCATTTTAAAAAGCAGAACGAAAGATGTCCCAAACAAAACCTTCGTCGTACGAGAAAAGCTGCAGCTTTGTAGGTAAGTAAAGAATGTAGATATTATTAGTTGGTAAATTTCGTGGGATGGTAACTCAATAATGTAAGCAATACTTAATTTCGAAGGACGTGCAAAGAAAAAATATCCCCATTGCCAGATTAATTTCTTGGTAGGATGATGATTGTACGTTTATATTTATTAAATTAGATTAATTAATTCATAATAAAGATTAAGGCTTTATTTGGGAAGGTTTTTTTTCTGTTTCTTAAAATCACTTTTTAGAATAAAAGTTGTATTTTTTGTACTAAAAAATGTTTTAAGAAACAGCAAAAAATCGTTCTCAAACGAAGTCTAAGATTTAATTTGGAACAATTTTTTACTGTTTTTTAAAATAATTTTTTTAGTATAAAAATTTTTAGTTCAAAAATGATCCGAAATAATGACTAAATTATAACAAAAAAATATTGATATTAAAACAGTTTGAGAATTGCTTGCAACGTGGAACTTGATTATACTAAAGTCGCCTAACATCTCAAGCTGCTCGAAGAGTTGAAGTTATATTTCATAAGAGTCGCCTAAGAGATAGTCCTAAATTGTAGACCAATCAGAATGAGCCACGTCGGTATTGCGCTCGATATTGCTGATATGATTCATTCGGTGCACAAAATAATTTCTCCCTAATTTTTTTTTTTTTTTAACAAAAACATTTTATTGATAATAAAGGGTTACAACATAGATAGACAAACATCTAATAAAATGCAGAAATATAATGAAAGAAGGAAACTGATAGTAGCTAAATGGTAGTTGGGCTCAGTAGTTGACCGAGACATCCAGTGCCCAACCATCATGCACGGGCCATCCAGTAAGGTGATAAAGGGTCCAGTCAACGATACGCATCGAAAAGCACCAAAGGTTGCCGCCAGCAAAAGAAAAGGCACTCGTCCCGGCCACATCATAGCCCCCCCAAAAAAAAACTGCGAGGCACCGAAACCAAAAATCGGAATACCAAACAGATTAACCACAAAACAACAAATCATTAACGCTTACGACGACCCCTGCCACGGCCCCTTCCGCGGCCCCTAGCACGTGAAACCTTCGAACGACCAACATTAGCACGAACCAACGAGAAATCATTCCCTGGGTCAGAACCCCCACAAAAATCCGAAGATATGAAATCAAAATCCGAATGGTCAGAAACAAATTCACCCTCAGAAGAGTCATTTAACCAATTTATTTGATCCGATCTATCGCAACTCAGAGAATTCACCAGATTTATCGTAGCAGCCGCTTGCACCGGAACATTCACGAACTGATTTGAGCTTTTAGATACTTCAGTTAAATTCTCCACCGGCACAGCATTATTAACATCAACCACAGGTAAATCTAAATCAGTAGAACAAACAACAGGCCCAATCGGAACACACCGAGGGCTCGAAACATCAACAGCACTCAAATCAGGTAAAGCATCAGACCCCATCCCGATAGTAACATCCAGCAAAACAGGGGAAACCGTGGTAACAGACAAAGGCAAAAAAAAAACCCTGCATCCAAACAACCCCTTAGGGTTTGCTTTTCCTTTTCTTTATTTCTTGGTTGGACTACGTTGTTCCTGTTGAATTGGAAGTCAGGACGTGAACTCGCCGCTAAGGTAACGATCTTTCACCCCTTCCACGCGCTTCTTCGGCTACATCCCGTAAATCCGCCGAACCAAATATAGCATTAAAGTCAAAACGAAGAAGGAACGTCATATATGATTCTATAGGATTTATTAAAGTTGTCATTTTTGCTGTTTGGTAGGATACTAGGATTTAGGCTGAATCCTGCTTCCAAACATCCCCATATATTTGTGTCATTACCATGCCAAAAAAAGTATAGTTAGAACGCCAGGTGCTTGCTTGATCCAATGATCCATTACCCACAGTGATGAAAATATTAAAATGATGGCTGAAATTGTTCTGCCTGTTTATCCACGGATTTACAATGGCACTGATAGAATAAGAGCTACACCAGCTGAAATATTTCATATTGATTTAATATAATTTTTCATTAATTTTTACAATTTTCTTATTCTTTGCATATTAATTCGTCCCTTCGAGTTTTCCTTGGTGTCCTTTAGTTTATTGAATTTTCTTTGAAGTTGTTAGCCCTTTGTATGATTATACTATGCATATTTATGTTTTTGGCACTTCCTTGCTCCTTATCTTTGAAAGGGGAATTCAATTGAGTTTGCTCACAAACGCAGACCATACCTTTATCTGTTGATTCAGGGTTTTAGGAGGAATTCAGAGGTGACCAACACTGAAAGCATAGACTCATTATTTTGGGTATGTGATTTTTACAATTTTTTTTATTTATTTTTTATATATGTATGGCATGTAACTTTTTTCCTGAAGTTGTTTCATATGGTGGGATGGCTAGTTACTAACAGTTTATTGGAGAAGCAAGTTATATGCATGAAATTCTAAAAAAAATGACCTATATCATGCATTGTAAGCGATTTCATGTAATCGGATTAGGGAGGAAAAAGAGTAGATCAAATAGGGCCTAAGAGTTTTTTTGAAGTTCCTTGATTCAACACGATATAGTTATAATCCATTTGAATTTCAATCCTACAGACAAGGACTGCACTTTTTGGGGACGATAGTGGACAATTGAAATAAACCAATCCTTTAAAAATAACATCAAATTCTAAAAAGAACATAGAAGAAACAAATAACTTCAAGTTCTCAAAAGAATAAATACATATATTACTGTTTTTCACTTGAAAAGCTGGGCAGCATCTCTTTGGTTTACAACCTCTCGTGTTAGCAAGCTACTCAGAAGAGAATTGAAAGAGCCCAAGCCTTGATGCAAATTCAACTTTTCATTCCCATTGGTTTTAGTCCCATATTCAATCTCATGTGATCCTAAGTGATTGATTTTAAATTTAGATTCATTATATTAATTGGTCACTACACAAAATGCTAGTGTATCACACATCTTTAGAGAGAACACTCCCAAACTATTATAAGGCCAATTTAGTGAGAAAACAAGTTTTATTGGGATATTGAAATTTCAACTCCGTCTTACAATGTCTTTTATTCGTTGGCTGTATTTATTTGATGCAGATTTGGTAAATCCAATCCAAACCTAACTATTATATTATTTAAGAAATTAAAATAAATACAGTCCCAGTTTAACAAAATGGTAATACCAATACTGATCAAGCCTTCATGTTGGTGTAGCCTGCCCTATAACTTCTCAAAAATAAAAGAAAAACATTGTTATCTTGACTGACTCCATAGTCAACTCAATGATGTTACTTGATTTCATGTTCCTTCCTCTTATCTTCCTCTCTCAAGACAATTTCTTTTGTCAGCAAGTCCTTAATTTGAAGGAAAAAGAGCAAGATGCGTTGCAACATGCCTATTTTTCTAGATCATTTTGAGAAGCCCTATCTAATCTTGTAATTATGTAATCACATTCCTTTTTGTACTTTTTTGTTTTGTGCATATTTGATCCTTGATTTGCAAATAATTATTTCCTTCTCTTGCTAAAATTTTCCCAACCTTAAATACCACCACTTTCCCTCTTTCTGTGTAAATTCAGGGTTCACGTTGTGAGGCTGATCTATTAGCCTTCCATATATTGCTCTCATTCCTATAGTCTTCACTAGTTCACACTATAAGTTGCATCATTTTTCTTTAACCGAGTTGATTTGATTTTCCTAGTCATTGAATGGTTATGCCAGATCTTTTGTTTGATTGCTTTTAGTTATATTGCTCCATCACCTGTCCTCATCTTTTAATTTGCTTTTTCGATATTCTTCATCCAATTTGATTGGAGTATTGGGTTTGTTGTTGCATTATATCAATTTTTCTACCCATTCTTATTATTCATTCCTAGATGCTTTATGTCTGCAAACCTTGTTGTGCCTATATTCATTATTGGTTCTTTCTTTATTTTTGTTTCAATCATATTATGTATCATTTTCACACATATGCCTAGGTTGTGGATCACAAATGTTTGAGCTCGACTAATGAGATCGAATCATCTAGATCAAATCAAGTTTGAATTTGATTGAGCTCAAAGACTTTGAGTTGAATTTGCTCATCCTTAACTCATTTTAGGTCGATAAAATGTTTTTAGTGTAGAATGTAGAATCTTAGTATTGGTTTCTTGACTTCCTGGCATTCCTGTAAGGGTAACCCAATATCAACCATCTAGATACAATACAGAGATTGAATATGTGAAGGGTTGTCCATCTAATTTGGCCACACTAAGCCGCATGCCACATGTGTTTGTGGTACAATCTTTGGAAGTTGATGATGTTGCTTGTTTTTTTACCTATATGATATCCATTAATATCCATTTCAGCCCAATCACTTAATTGGATGCATCTACTACTCTTAGGTAACATACCCTTCATGACAAACATTCTTCAACTCCATATAATTTGTGATGGTGATATTAAAAAAAGCTACATCTTTGGAAAGAAGCGTAGGACGACACACAAAAAGCATTATCATTCTATTATTTAACATTTTTTTAATAATGTTACATGGCAAAAATGAATATATGAATATGTGATGCATATTCTCATGAACCATAAATATCATCTTTCTATGCTTAGTCAGAGGGGTGCTGGGACACAAAACTCAAGGATGGAGGGATATTAATGAAGATCCTTAAAGTCCGACAAAGCAAGCAACATTGTCATTTTCTAAGAGTCGTGTCCCACGAAAAAAGATTAAGGTGTATGGTGTTGACTAAACTTTTTGGGTTACCAATTAGACCGCTCATGTAATTCAAAATAATGCAAGAGCTTCTAAAGAAAGAAAGATGTTTATTAAAGTTATGATAGTGCTATCAAGTTGATGAGGACATCGAAGATCAACGGCTACGATCGTGTCTATTTTCATCCATGCATGTACGTTTCACATCACAAGTATTACAAGTTTTTTTTACTCGAAGATTGATATTATATATGACAACTTATCTATATGTAGATTTAAGTGTGAATGGCTACAATGGAGAAGTATATCATGAGTATTATGTCATTAGAGGATATTATAAAATTTGATGTAAATTATATATGCAATTTGGTCGGCGATGTTGTAAATGATTTGAGTGTGGGGTAGCAAAAAAAGTTACTGGCTATGAAGCTGAGTGTGGCATGAGTGATTATGTTTTGATGTATGTGTGACAATATTAGGAAAGATAAGTTAAAGAATGTTTATAATAGATGAGTGATCAGGGAATGTAACCGGCCTTGCGCCCATTTTATCATTAATAAAAAATATATGGGATATGTTTTTATTCTAAAAAAAGAGAGGAAGGATTGGTATATCACGTATTGAAGGCGAGTTAATTAAAAATGTACTTAAGTTCTTTGTACATGTATAATAAAGGATAGAAAATATACCTATTAGATGGATGGATAAAACTAGTGTTGAATAATTAAAAAAGCGAATGTGCAGATCTAACTTAACCTGGGTAGAATTTGTTTAGAAGGATCTTTGAAGAGTTGTTTAACATCTCAATTCTCAAAAAATACTTAATAGGACTGAATGGAAAATGGTAATTTATAAACAATGCCCCAAATTGTTGGGATAAGACTAATGATGATGTCGATGATATTCTTCATTTTGTATGCCTTACGCCAAATCCATTAAGTGTTTTGGTTGTTTCACAGAGGACTCTTAACTCTTTTTAGGTTGTCAAACAGAGTTTAATAAACCATCAATGCTAAATTAGATGAGTTATTCAGTTATATTAGGTATAGTTCCCAATCGTATTTCCTCTTATGAAATGCTAATATCCTCGATTTGTGATAATAAATCCTATATTAATGGTTCTATACTGCTTTATCGATACCTAATTTTTGACCTTTTTTGTATTAATAATTGGCAATATTATTCAATTATTATTTTTAATGCAGCTTTCTGAATCTGCTGAGATGAACTGGAAATTTCCAATTAACTTCGGGTGAGTTTTTCTTTAGTCATGTTGAAAGTTTTCATTCTTTGTTATATGAAATTTGATTTGGTTGATGGTTCAGTTTTAACCAGATGCTTTGAGACCACTTGCTTACAGTTTAAATTCAGTTAACTCGATATGAATTATTCTTCTTTTTTATTTTTCTAATTTATATATGTGCATATTTAAATATTTATTATATGCTTGTATAATATATACACATATTTGTACACATTACTTATGAATAAATAAATAGTATTTATATTTCAAACAGCAACTAGTTGGCTCAAATCACTCCAGGCTCAATTTGAAGGTTGGATTGTGCTAAAAATTGATCTCATGACTCAGTTTGAGATCTATCGGAGTTAAAAGTACACTGAACCCAAATTTCCATTGTTAAGGTTGTAATCTGTATGTAGTCTTTAAACCAATTAGAAACCAATTTTAATAAATTATCTTTAACTCATTTATACTTTTAATTTTTGTCCTAGTTAGTGGAGATCTGTATCTTTGGTTAGTCATGCATGAGGTTTGAAATCCAGGCACTGTATTCTTACAGCTGGTTTATAAACTGAACAATGCATATTATTCTGTGCTAACTATGCTTGTTTTATGAATGCAAGCATCCTTAGCAATGACTCCCATGTTTTAATTAAATATTTCTTCTCACAGGCGTACTCAAGAGCAACAAGGACAGTCAAATTTGCAGGAAATCCCAACCCATTCTTGGTATCCTCCATCTGTGGTTGGTACATCTCGCCCTTCCACACCTGGTAGTTCATCTATTACTGGTGGGCAGCAAAGGCCTTTAGATCAACCACTGTCACCAGCACGTGGACAGCCCTCCCCTGCTGAGGCAGCTGGGGTAATTGCTCGGTTGAAGGATAAAAGGTAAGATTTTAGGAATGTAAATGAGTTATTAATTTTCATTTTTAAGATAAATATCAGCTATAATTAAATTATTATCATGAAAAGGTCTTGTTGAACATGACATTTTTTCATGTATAGCGCTTACATGGGTTGTCTTCTATTTGATTGGTGACAGCTACTGGATTATTGTGCGTTCTGAATCTCGAAAGTTTCTTCAAATTGTTTTGTCCTTTTTCTGCTTGATAAAATGGGGTTTTTTTTGTGATTAGCAGGCGCTACAATAAGCTTTGAGAGCATCAAGTCCTGTGTGATCTTGCATATGGTTTTGTCAAGTTCCTTTGTTTTTTGCATCCTTCTGTTTTCACATTCCTGCCAACATTTTAGCATGATCTGCTTTCTAGTGACCCAGCGCTTAAACTTGGAACATCTTTGGGATTTATTGAGAAAAGCTTCCTTTGGTTAAACCTTTTTTCACGAGAAATATATGATTGTTGATAGTGTGATTCTTTGTCTTGGATTGGCGTTTTACGTATCAGACTCCATTGTAATTAGAAAATAGAATTAATAATTTGCCTACTTGTATTAGTTGTATACCATACTTCGACTCTTTGATGGAAAATCAGTTCATGCTTAGCCATGATGTGGCTTCAATCCCCTCTCAAATCACAACGTTCATGAACCAGTTGTAGAGAAGGATTCCTAAAGTTGTTTTTGTTTTTCTGAAGTTATTTAGTCTGAAATAAAAAAGTTGATCTTTTTATTTCCTTGTTTCTCTCAAAATTTATTACTTATATATATTTCACTTTTTATTCATGGTCAGACTTCTAATTCTTGCATCTCGTGCTTGAAATTTTGGTAGTATTGATGAGCTGAGAAAGCTTTTGAATGACAAGGAGGCATACAATTCCTTTTTCAATTCTCTGGAGCAAGTCAAAATCCAAAATAATGTAAGTTGATCTATCAAACTTTTGACCATGTACTTTGTGCTTTGAGTTCTGATCATGTAATTGTGCTTTGAGTTCAGATAATTTAAGCATATCCTTTGTCAATGTTGAATTTAAAGATAACACTTCTTTCCATCAGCATTTTTATACAAATCCCACTTAGCATCACTGTCGCTCTGATTTTGTTTTACCATGCACTGACCTTTCTACATTTTGTAATATTTTGTTTTACCCATCAGAATATGTCTTCTTGGCTTTGTAAATGTCAGCTCTTTAATGCGTTAATGAATTTATTAGAAATCGACAATTCCTATCATCAAAGCATCATTGTCTATTGCTTGATCTGGTAATTATTTTGGAGTTGCTGCTGGATTTTCTTTTGCTAGCACCACCTTTGCTTTCAACTTAGATTCTTTTAATGATTTTTTGGGCTCTCAAAATTCATGCACTGGCATCTGCTAAGGAGTTTAGGTAGTTCTGAGTCAAAATTTTCAGAAAACAGATTGAATTGAAGATAAGTCACTATCCAAAGATGTTTCCATCATTTCGTTAGGATTTTATATTTTGTTATAGGTTTTCCATATAGGCGCAAGCTCCTATAGTTAATTACCCCATTCGGTGACGAGAGAGAACTTTCAATTAAAGCTAGTTATTAGATAGGAATTAAGTGCTTGACGATAGTAGCAACAAATTGATGTAGGATTTGAAATTTACAACCATGAATTTAAAGCAGATGGTGGGAAGAATAATGATGAACCCAATCAAGATTATATGATTTTGTCATCCCGGGTTGTCATGGTTCATAGTCTACTTAGTCAGAGGAGGTAGTCAATCCAACATGATCGAAGGGTCCTTGGCAATCTTAAGTTGCTTTGTGCAAGGAAACCTTATGGAACTACCGAACTAGGTTGGATGTTTATAGCTCGTAGGCGAGTTGATGTGTTCGTTGCAAGTCTCATGTTCTTGTTTATTTGTTTGAAGCAGCAAACCATGCATATTATATGTTTTCATTTTGCCTCCAACATGCATTTAAAGTTTTATTTGTTGCATTTTAGTCGTGCAATTTTTTTTTTTAATTATTCATTTTCAAGTGGTGTTTAATTAAAATTTTGGTAGCTTGTGTCTCCCCTACCATGCTTATATAGAAGCATGTATGGTCACTGTTGTGAGACATCGCGATCTTCTACCCTAGCGCGCTTGAAAAAACACATGCATATGCCTTCAACACTTGCACGAGCGAAAAGACGAATTTCCTCACTCCGTTAGAACAACCAATGTTGTGAAAATTGGATTGGACAACAAACCAAAAGGAGAAGGTCACGGTTCCATTAATTAAAAAAAAATGATAAATTAACATGATTTGCTTTTCGTTAGTTACCTGTACCAATTTACTTTCATGGGTTATGTACAAGCCTATTGTCTGTCCACACTATTAAAAGATAATATGCTTTATGAAGATAAAGAAATGGATAGAAATCAAGACTTTGGCATACACACCATCTTGATCCATCTTGATAACCTTTGCCAATCAATGCAAAAAAGCATGTGCTGTTTGATCCTTATGAACATGTCTCAACACTATTAATGGTTAACACTCAAACATAAGCCAACAATTTTGTAAGTTAAAAAACAAAACCGATGACAAAATAGATTGTAAACAGTTTGCTAGTAACTTTAATCGCAATTGAATCAGCCAGAAACTTAGGCTCATTTAGAACCCTAACAATGGCAAACTGCAACAAGATGAGCAGGCCAATAGCATAGCAAGGCATTGCAACAGAGAATTGAAGCCAAATACTCTCAAGCGTGCATTAAAACAAAGAAACATTGCAACAACCAAGTTTGGGTCAATTCTAGCTAATTGCAACAAACAACGAAATCAAAACAACATATACTCATGCATAAATAATCTTATCTCAAAAATTTGCAATGGAAACCAAAGTTTTTGGGACATATATGGAGGAAAAGATTAAAAGAACTGAAAAATTGTTATTAGCGGTGAAAATCATAATATGAATAGAAATCAATTAAGGCTCATTGCTGACAATATTGTAAGGCAATGATGAATGAAAATTGTGTATCAACTTAGATTAGAGGATATGTCGGCGACAATGAATAGTGTCGCGACGCCTTCGTCTCATGCAATAGGTCGCACTTGGGAACGAGAACTAGGTTTAGGTTGGGGATGGGAATGAGAAGAAGATGAACAACAAATGAGAATTAATAATTTGGATTTAAGAAATAGAATTCTTTAATTTTGACGATTCCATCTGGAATCAACCGCTCAAATTTAGCTATTTTTAAACTGCGTGGTTTCTTAAAAACTAGTTTGATCTGTCGGTTCAATGGTTAAACCGCAGTTTTCCTCCCATCGCTCGCGGTTTCGCTTGAATGCGATTTTTGTAGCCGATGGAATCAGCCGTTTGACCGGTTCTCGTTTCTAAACTGATTGAATCGATTGGTCCGATCCGGTTTTTAAAACCACGGGAACAACATGAATGTATACTTAAGTTTATAAGTTTTTTGGGGAACATATACTTAAGTTTGTTAGTTTTATCAAGTTCAAGAGCAGGTAGTCAACCGATTGAGTATTTAGCAGAATGGCTACATGTAGGCGTGTGAGCTAGAGGAGAGGAGTGATGTGGTCAGCCTTGTGTGTAATCGAGAGTGGGTAGAAGGGATTCGTGTGCGTAAGGGAGAGTGGCAGAGGTCTGTCGTGGGAGCAGGTGGCGGTTCAGAGTGTGAAGTGAGATGGTGGAGCAGTAGTTGGGGTTGTACAGGTGGGTTTGGCTGGAAGACGAAGAAGAGTTGTGTGAGGGAAATATCAGTTGGTTGTGATTTGTGAATGAATAGAGAAGAATGAGGGAGTTCAGAAGTTTTGGCTACTGTTATGAGGGAATAGGAGTGGGTTTAGATTTTTTTTTTTTCCTTCTGTGCAGACTGGACAAGGCTGAGGCATGGAAACATTGTAAGTTGCCTACGAGTTTCTCTTGTCGCGCCATGAAAAACATGCAGGTTTCCACTTGTTGCGTTAAATATGTTGCATTCAAAATTTTGAGGGTTTTGAGAGTTTGCAAATTTCTATGTTTGCGTTGTAGGAACAAATTCAATGTTAAAGTAAGGGGAGCACACAAATTTTTTTTTTTTTAAATTTTTTAATCTTTTCCTTAGAGAGTGAAAAGGGAGAGAGAGAGAAAGAGGTAGAAAGAGAGAAAGGGAGAGAGAGGGATAGAAGAGAGAGAGATGACTGCCGGTGGTGGAGGCTGCATGTGGTGCGCGACAATGGTGGGGTTTTTGGCAATGCTCAGGATAGGCAGCAACAATGGAAACAAGTGTCGCGACTGTGACGGGCTGGCTAGGGTGATGGGCTGCTGCATTATAGAAGAGGAGTGGTGGGCGGGGGTTCTGGAGTGAGAGCATGCAGATCTATCAGTAGAAGAGGAGGGAGGAAGAGAATGAGAGTGTGTGCAGGAGATATAGAGAGATTGAGGGAGAAAATGGGAGGGGGTCGTGGACGACATGCGAGGGTATGGGCAGTGAAGATTATAATGTGTGCTATTGGGCTGTGGCAAGAACATTTTTTGTGTGAGTGAGTCCGTCATTTTAATACCTGTGCTTCCTCATCATTTGATGAGATATTATTTTTGACTTCACCAAAAATTTGAGCCATTTCTTATGCATGTCAAGATGATTGCATGTATACTTTTCCATATTTGCAATCTTAATTTAGATTTAAAGTAATTTAGTCCGATGGATAAGCTTGATCATGTTCAATTGGTTGAATTAATTTAGATTTCTTATGCTTATGTTTAATTTGCATCAACAGAGGGGCATTGGATATGCTACTACACCAGAAAGCGTTATTCACAGTGATTTTTAATGTCATTATTTCATGCTCTTTTGGGGCTGGCCCGCGTGAGCAGTGGGATGTAACAATGCCTAAGGATGGGGCTTCTGTGCAAAATGAATCCTAAGTTTATCAAATCTTCTATAATGCTATGAATTTCATTTACTTTATGAGAGCACTAGGCAGTTTTAACTTGTATCTTCTGTTTATCGAGTATTCATTACTTTGCATTATGCATGAATTATTATGACTTTAGTTTTAAACTTTGATTATGATTGATATTTATGTTTTTTTTTTCAGTTACGGGATGAACTTCAGAAGGAAACTTTACAGATTGCAAGTAAGATGCTTGCACTTTTAGCTAGAGCAATTCTCGATTCCTTTATAATGCAATGAAGGTTTCTAAAACATGTGTTGCAGGGGAGAACTTGGAGAAAGAACCTCGAATTTTGGAACTTAAAAATCAAGTGAGTTGTTGATACTAAGTCACATTTCATCATCATCTTCTTTAGTAGTATTTTCTCAACTAATTGGGCCTGCTTTATGAATCATCATTCTCCCTTCATTCTAAGTGAGAGTTGTACGAGATAAATCTATTTTGCCCAAATATTTTTTTAGCATAATTGTAAAATGAACGTTTTTTTTTTCTCCTAATTTTATGAAGTTAATTTTGTCTATCCATCTTATTGATGAATCATCTATCTTTCATTGCACATGCTAAAGCATTTAAGTTTCTTTTTACCTATATTATCTTTCGTTGATGTTACTTCCATGACATCTTTACAACAACAACAACAATATGAAGCCTTTATCCCACTATGTGGGGTCTGCAACATGAATTCTTTTTCTCCATTGTGCGCTGTCAAAAGTTGAATACTCATTTAAATCTGATAAAGAAAGGTAATTTCTAATATTTTCTAACCAAGGTTGTTTAGGTCTACTTCTATCTTTCTTAACAGAAGTCAAATCTAATACATCTACTTTCCTAACGGGCTCATCGGAAGGCCGTTGTTTTATGTGACCAACCATCTAAGGCAACTCTCTCTAATCTTATCTTCCACTGGAGCTACTCCAACCTTTTCACGTATATGCTCATTTTGTGTCCTGTCTCTAAGAGTAAAGCACTCATCCACCTAAGCATTCTCGTCTCTGCAACACTTAACTTAATATTATGCTTCTCTTTTAATGGGTAACATTTTGCATCATAAAACATTGCAGGTCTAACCACCATCTTATATATTTTTCTCTTAAATTTGAGGGGGACTTTTCAATCACACAACAAGTCCGATGCATTCCTCCACTTCAACCATCAAACTTGAATTCAACTAATAATATTCTCATCTATTTCACCATCACTCTGAACAATAGACCCAAGATATCTAAAAGTGTAGTCTTATTAATGACTTGATCACCCAAAGCCACAATCACCTCCCCCCACAAGAACTATTATTACCAAAATTACACTCTACATATTTAGTTTTATATCTACTCAAACGAAAGCCTTTAGACTTTACCATAAGTCAAGTTTAACTTAAACTCCCTCTCTAGTCTTATCAACAAGAAGAATATCATTAGCAAAAATCATACATCAGGGTACAACCTCTTACAAATGTCTAGTGAGAACATCAATGACTAAAGCATAAAAGATATGGGCTTAAGGTTGATCCTTGATGTAATCCAATTGAAATAGGAAAATACTTGATCAAACCACCTTGTGTATGAACACAAGTAACAACTTTTGCGTACATATCCTTAATGACTTGAATATAAGCATTATTAATCACTTTCTTTTCTAGAGCTCTCCATAGCACTTCTCTTGGAAGTTTATCATATTCTTTCACTAAATCAATAATATGTAGATCCTCCTTATTCTCTCTATACTTCTCTATCAAATCTCTCAATAAATGTATAGCTTCCATAGTAGACCTACTTGGCATAAATCCAAATAAATTTTGAGAAACATTAGTATCATGCCACAACTTATGCTCCATAACTCTCTCTATATTTTTAAAATATGACACATTAACTTAATTCCTCTATAATTCCACAATCTTGTGCATCACCTTATTCTTAAAAATAAGAATCAATACACTCATTTGCCACTCATTTGACATCTTTTTAGTCTTCAAAATAATATTAAAATGTTTAGTAAGCCAAGAAATTCCTTCATCTCCTAAGCATTTTTACACCTTTATTGGAATATCATCAGGTCCAATAGTTTTTCCCCACTTCATTTTCTTTAAAGCTTCTCTATTTTTGGTTTTACTAATACGCCGATAAAAAAAATATTTTCATTTAGGATGTTAAAATCACTAAAGTTAATCGCATTCTCATAATCTTCATTGAAAAGTTTATAAAATATCTCATCCACCTTTGTTGAATATCCTCTTCTAATAAAATATATATTTTTATCTTCATCCTTAATACACTTCACTTGAAAAAAATTCTTACTAATATCTCTTTATTTGGCTAACTTATACATATATCTTTCGATCTCCTTAGTATCTAATATATTATATGAATCATTAAAAGCTAAAATTTTTGCATCGCATATTGTTTTCTTAGACTCCTTATGGACCTCTTTATGATTTCGTTTGGGACGACTTTTTAACTGCTTCTTGAAGTAGCTTTTTAGTATAAAAATAAAAAAATAAAAAATTTTGTACTAAAAAGCTGCTTCAAGAAGTAGTAAAAAAGCAATCTCAAACGAAGCCTATATCTTTTCCAATTATCAAAATTTTTACATCTAAACTTATTTTTATAGTAAATCTTTTTATTTTTTATCTTTTCTTGCATATTTTGTTTCCACCACAAACTATTTTTACTATTAGGAACTTTTCCCTTTAATAATTCAAACACATCTTTTGTAACGTTTTTAATATCACTAGCTACTTTTTCCTACATAACATTAGCTTCCTCATACACACAGACAAAATCTTAAGATTTAGTATCTTACTCTCAAAAATATTTTTATTAATATTCTTTAAATACCCCCTTTTAATTCTTAAATAACATTTTACTTTTTTTTTTTAATTTTCTGCCCCTTCATCTTAATGTCTAAAACTAATAAGCGATGTTGGATGCATAAACTTTTATTTGGAATAACTTTATAATCTGTTATAATCTAAATGATTTATTTTTCTTATAAGAAAATAATTAATCTGAGCTTTACTATATCTATTCTTATAAGTGATGAGATGCTCGTCTGTTTCTTAAATAAGATATTAGTAATTATAAAATCATTAGTTAAAGAAAAATCTAATATGATCTTACCACCTTCATTAGTCACTCCAAACTCATAGCTACCATGAATGCTTTTAAAATTATCTATATCTCTACCAACATATCAAGTTAAATCTATTAGTTTGCCTGTAAGGGTACCTATATTATTTTCCTATGAATCATAATATCTATTAATTCTATTAGTTTGCCTGTAAGGGTACCTATATTCTAAGTTCCTATCATAACTTTAATTTCATGAATTAGCTTCTTTGCCTACATCCGTCAATGATGTGAGAACCCTTGCCTATTTAACACTGCACTTGGGTCCCGGTGTAGCGGTCATTGCACACTTGTCACTGTATTCAGGCCATACAACGCGTCGCTTATAGGAAACGCCGTAACATTAACACAATGTATTAAATGATTCATTTCATGATTATTCGACAAATTTTATGTTGGTTGTCGACTACCTAACACAATACTCCATTTTTCTCATCTAGGTCATGGGATCTGACAACGATAGTATTTCCATGACGTCTTTACTATGATTATTTATGTGTATATATTTCATTTTATGTCATGATTATTTAACAAATTTTACGTTGACTAATTTCCCTTCCCCTCATCCCACCCTAGCCACCGCCCCCGCTCCTTGGGTTTCCCGCCGCCGGCCACCCTCCCCACCACGGCCGACCACCTCGCCGCCGGCCACCTTTCCTCCCCACCTCCCCTCCCTATGCCGCCCCAACTCCTCTCATGAAATTGAATTTTAGAATTCAATTTCTTTCCAAATTGGGAAATTCCAATTTAGGAAAGTTTTGAAATTTTGAACTCAATTTCATCCCAAATGAAATTGGATGTATGAGATGAAATTTTCCTAGTCATCGTCTCAATTTGGAATCCTCCGCCACCTCACCAAACCCCCTCCTCCTCCTTAATGCCGCCGGCCCCCCTCTTCATGAGCCCCATTAATGGCGCCATTAAACCCCCTCTCTTAATTTGAAATTCTAATCTTAAGCTCATAAAATTCCCTCCATTTCCCTCAAAACTGAAATTATTTCAGTTTTATTCCTAACCTAGCTCCTCTATTGATGCCGCCGGCCCCCCCTCTTGGCTTTCAAATTTTGAATTCTCAATTAATGCCTTCAATGCACTTAATTGGGAATTCAAACCACTAATCCCTCCTCTCCTAATTCCCCCCAAAACTGAAATTACTTCAGTTTTATTGCTTAACACACATCTCTCTCTCCCTCCCCATCTCCACCGCCGGCCCCCTCTCTCTCCTCTCCAACCTGCCGCCCATCTCTCTCTCCCATTGGAGATTATCCCGTGGCGACCACCCTTTCTCTTCTTCAAGGATGCATGGAGGAACCCGAGTGGAACTTCGGGTTTGAGTACGACAACCACGGAAGGGTTAACATCCTCAGAATCACCGTTCTTCGACGTCGGCTTTGACTTTGACGACACCGTCGAAGAATACTTGGATCGGATCCTACCTACATTAGTGGATTCCATCTACGACCACTTTTCTGTCTACACGTGGATCATTAAAGGCCGCTCTCCCGCACCACCTCCACATCCGGCGCCTTCCTCTCCTTCCCTACGGATCTACGGCACCGTCGCCCTCAGAGTGGTCTCGTCACTTGTGTGGTTATTCTTCTCCCAACGAACCTAGAAGTAGGAGCATGAGCGTGGCCTCAAGGTGAGACGATCGCTTTGTTAACCGCCGGATTCTAGTTGACCATTCATTTTCATTACTTGTTATTGATGTTGTTATTTTATAAATCTTGTAAACTTAGTTGGAGCTACTTGCCTAGACGTTGTTAACTTCTAAGATCTTCTTTGAATCGTTAAATTAGAGAAGCATTGAATTGTATTATCATTACTTTAACAAATTTTTATTAACTTCTAAGAAACAATTCCTGGTTTCACATCAATATCTCTACCAACATATCAAGTTAAATCTCCTCTAATAATTTTTTTTCTTCAAGAGGTATCTTTAATATTTTTTTTTTCAAGAGCTATCTTATATATTAATTCTTCTAATTCATTTCAAAATTTTATTTGTGAGGGGTCCAAACCTATATGTGGATCATAAGCACTTATAATATTAATAATCTTAACATCAACAATAATATTTAAAGTTAAAATGGTATATCCAATTATTATTAATTTTTACAACATTATCCTTTAAACTCTTATCTATAATCACACCATTTTTAGTATGACTCTAATTAGAATATTGTTGTTTAAATCTTAAGCTATCAATCTCCTTAGCCTTCTCTCTAACCCATTTAGTTTCCTGACTGCATATAGTATTTATTTTCCTATGAATCATAATATTTATTAATTCTATTAGTTTGCATGTAAGGGTACCTATATTCTAAGTTCATATCCTAACTTTAATATCATGAACTAGCTTCTTTGCCTACATCCGTCAATGATGTGAGAACCCTTGCCTATTTAACACTACACTTGGGTCCCGATGTAGCGGTCCTTGCATACTTGTCACTATATTCAGGCCATACAACGCGTCACTTATAGGAAACGCCGTAACATTTACACAATGTATTAAATGATTCATTTCATGATTATTCGACAAATTTTATGTTGGTTGTTGACTACCTAACACAATCCTCCATTTTTCTCATCTAGGACTTGGGATCTGACAACGATAGTATTTCCATGACATCTTTACTATGATTATTTATGTGTATATATTTCATTTTATGTCATGATTATTTAACAAATTTTACGTTGACTGTCAGCTACCTAATACAATCTTACACTTTTCTAATCTAGAGTTTGAGACTTGGCAACAACTGTGTTAAATGTTTGTTATTATATTTAAATGAGAATTTGACTCTTAATAGGACAATGGAGAAAAAAGATTCATATAACCGACCCCACGTAATGGAATAAATGTTTGATGTTGATATATTCTATTTTAGTTTTGCCATATGTCCATCATAACAGTCTCATTCAATTTGTCTAACAATTATTTTCATACCGCCCAACACCCACAAAAGTCCAATCTACCATATAGCCGGCCCAATTAAAGCTTTGTAAAGCACGTCTTTAATTCGCAATGATATTTTTTAATCATGTATTACTCTTGAGGCGCAGTATAAAATTTTGATTAAATATTACTCATGAGGCCATCATTCTGATTGCTTGATTTGCTGCAAAAACAGTGTACTATCATTCGCACCACAGAGCTGGCTGCTGCACAGGAGAAGCTAGCAGATCTACAGAGGAAAAAGGAAGAAATGCAGAGAGCTTATTCCCCTTCATCATTATTAAAGACGCTAAATGGTAAATTCATGCTTTAGATTGCACAAGATAAGATGCCTTATTCCTTCTAAGAAAAAATGGACCTTTTACCACCCTTATATAGAATGAGAAGTGTTTATGCCCACCCATTACAATCTCAGCCACATGAGAAAATAACATGAGGGCAATCTCAAACACTGATTAAAGCGAGCATTACTAGAATTCCAATCCAATTTGCATTATATTATTCTTTTTAATACTATGTTTCCTGTTGGGTTTCCTTCATCTTTAGAAGACTTGGGCATGATTTTATTTTAAGATATTAAATCAGAGATTCTATAGCTGAGATTAAAAAAAAAAATTTATATGGTACTTATTCAATTATCATATATATATATTAAAATATGTTTGTTGAATGAAAGAAGTAGGCCATTGAATTTTAGTATAATTTGATATTACAATAAGAAATGTTTTTTGCTTTTGAAGTGGGAATTAATCTTGCAAATGGTATTAAAATGCTGAAAAGTAGTAGCGAGTCAAGTAGAATGATACACAAAGAATTCTAATAGTGCACAATATCGTTAAAGTCCGGTTGAATGCTTTGCTGGGCGCTTGTTTTAGTGTTCGAGCAAGTGAGGCATGGTCATGAGCATCTTTCATTATGATATGAGTAATGAGGTGAAAGTATTGCCTGTTGATTTGAGAGAGTGGCAATACCTCAAATATTGAAGATGAGTTAGATATATAATAATATTTTGATATGAGATGATGTGAAAAGAGTATCAGTAGTTTGATGAAAAAAATGCATTATTTGAATTAAATTAGATCAAATATAGGTGCAATAGCTTCAAATTGGGAGTAGTAAATCTTGAGTATGACCTTGAGGAGACTAGAAGAAATGGGCCGCTGAAAGCGCTTAAATCCAATCGTAGAAAGAAGTTTGTGTATGGTGATTGGTGATGAAGATGAAAATATACTAGTAAATATTATATTATCCAGTTTTTTTTGTGGAGAGTTGTGCACTTGTCTAGGTTCTCAGATTTGGCGAGACAAGGTGAGGCCATAACACCTCTCACAATACTTACAACACTTGGGTTGTCAGGATAACCTCAACCAATTAAGTGATTTTGCATTCACTTCTAGTCACCCTAGGCAAACACTTAACACTAATAACTTATAGAACACCTTTTTTGCTTTTTTGTAGTTGAATTGAACCTGAGCTGTGGTTTATGTCTAAAAGTTGAACTCTTTCTCCTCTTGCCATTGCTCTTTCCATGAGGGATGGTGATGTTCCTGCTTGCCAATCTGTTCATAGGTTAAGTTGCATCGGTAAGATTAATATAGGACTTTTTTAACACTATTTTGGTCCGAGTTAGCTTATTTTGATATAGTTGTAGTAGCGGAAACACAATATGATATAGAATTAAAATGATAACAAATCAGTGATTTGGCGAGTCTTGTCTAAATACTTCTTGCTGCCTATGTTTGCTCTAAACTAGATTTAACCGGAGACCAGATGAAATTCACGTTAATAATGAAGTACGATGCTTTATTTCTCATAAAAAGTTCTTCAATGTGCTTATAGCATTGGCATGCAACGCTTCCGTAAGCCGAATATCTAACTGATCCATTAATTTCTTATAAACCACTTTATTTTTTTGACTAGGAAGTTAATAATCGTTGACGTTTCCCAGAATTCTTCGTAGACCTCTTTGCGATAAAAAATATCTTTTGTATAATTCTAAATGTGAAGTTTTGCTCAAACCATATTATAAAGATGATGTAAAATGGATATCTACCTAAATCAAAGAAAAAATACAAATTAAACAGGGTTAGTTTGATTTTTTCTGGTAGGATGTGAGTTGCCCTATATATATTCCTTCATTGGAACAGACAAAACTTCTGTTGTATGCCATGTACGCTTTGAAAAGTGAATTCATTCCATATTAGGTTTTATGAGCAACTAGATATATTCTGTTTCATATGCTATTTTGAAATCGACATCACTGCTTCACAGACGGAATGAATGACATGGAAGAGGAGTCAGAGTTATTGCACCAGCAGCTACTTCGGAAGGACATCGACCTTCCAACTTTTGTACAGAAATATAAGAAACTTCGAACAACATTTCACAGGCGGGCCTTAATCCATCTTGCTGCAAAGACTTCTGGTTTCTGAATAGCTGAACTATCATGCAATTCCTTTCAGTCCATGTAGGTACTTACCAAGCATTTGCTTTGATTCTTTTACTGTCAACTCTATACTTATTATGGCTGCTAGGTTTATTTGCTACACTGTGATTTACTATATTGGTTGTTATGCTGCAGGCTGTTAGAAGCCCATATATCTCTAGCTGATAGTAAATAGTCCTTGTGAATTGCTTTGAGCTCTTTGCAAATACGTATGCTTTGTACATTTCAGTTTATCGATTCTCTGAAGTCATTCAATAAAAGATAAACCTGTGAGCGCTGCTACTGTTGCTTCTGTATATAAGTTGTGACGAATTGATGGTTTTAAAATGTTTGGGATTTGTTTTATCCTTTTAATGTTATTATGCTGTCATATTTTTTATTCGACTAGGTTATGTTGAATTGGAAACTGCTTAATAGCTGTGTTTCTTTTTTTTTTCTTATTTCCTATGATATAATATAACAAAAGGTATTTTGTTTAGGATGAATGTTCATGTTTGCATGGTGTGAAGTCATAGGGCCAGTTTTAGAGTTAGTCACAACTCACAACTAGACATTTATGAGAACTATATCTTAATGTTTCTCGTTCAATTTTGTTAGTAAGTGTTAAACATTCTGTGAACATAAATATATTAAGGTTTAAGGAACATAATGTTCTCTTTAATGGAAAATATTCTCTTTCACCCTTTGGTATATCTCTTTCTTTCTCTCTCTCATGACGGTCTTGCAATGAGTTTTCCGGAGGTTTCACTTCAGGTTAGGATGTTCTAGCATCAGAGCCTCTGAGATTCTCTGTATTTCAGATTTTGCGTTGGGTTTAGCATAAAACTTCTGACTTACCAATGTGATTTTAACAAGTGTATACCCATATCAGCTTTAGCTAGGTTGATCAAGTCACAATTCAATAAAGAAGGGCAAAGCTATGATGATTTTGGCCTAGTTGCTTGGACCAGCCCCTACCGAGTCAACTAGTTCATTGGATTTAATTTGTACTAGAACAAGACGAGTTGTTAACTACAAGTTGCTCAATAAGTGGCCAAAAACTCGACGCCATCTAAGCGTTCAACAATATTCGATTGCAAGCAATCGGTTTACGGCACCCAATAAATACTCTATATCCATGCCTAATAATACTTTCGACTAAGTCATACTCATAAGCACTTGTGTAGAAGAGAACCCACCTTTCAATAGGAGTGGTATTCGAGCAAGGCTACTCATCTAGCTATCTTGTAGTGTCTTCATGAATAAGTTGTTGATGCTCCTAGTTTAGGTGGATCATTCATTTCCAGATATCTTTTGTTGGAACTCTCTTTATTCCAATCTTTCTTGCTCTCCAGATCTTTTTTAAATCCAATGCTATTTTTTTCAAGGAAATTCACTTATATTTCCCGATAGAGAACCTTATTCTTCTTTGTAAGATTTCTAGTTCTCTGGCGAAGTTTGCTCTTAGGCTGTGGAAGTAGATTGAGCCTCGTATTAAAGTTGTCTAGATCTGAGAGATTAATAAAGAACATGGATAATTCTACGCCATAGATCATGGGTATAGAGCTAACATCCAGTCAATCTATTTAGATTTTGTTTGGGAGAGTTTTTTATTAATTTCTAAAGCAACTTTCTAATATGAAATTTTTTTTAAAATAATGAAAATATAGTGATAAAAATTTATTCCAAATGAAACCTTATTCTCTAAGTGACCTTAATCTCGATCTCAAATTAAATTCCTATTTATAACATCCTATCAAGCCTGACTAAACCAAATCTAATTCTAATATCTTCATATGCGTTGAGTGAGCCTAAAGACGATGCAACAAAAAAAAAGAAGAAGATATTCCCACGTGATTTGTGTTGTGGTTGTTGCTTATTTGTGCTATCATCGTTACTAAATTTAACGTAAATCTAAAGATTCTGAATGAAAAATTATAGCTTTTTCATACAGCGGCTGCTACAATGATATGAACACCAGATTTTGAAAACAACTGGCTTGAATAATTAAATTATGAAAAATAGAGTTCCTGATTTCTCTGTAGAGAATAAAAATAATTAAACGATTTTTAACACCTACATGAACACAGGAATTTTATTATTCTATTCATTGCCACCGATTATCTGGGCTCTGGATTTTTTAAGCACTGCATTTTATTTTTGCAATTATTTAAATAAGGAACAGAATCTGAAAATAAAAGAACTGAATGAATTTTCAATATATTTTAAGCAGAGTTTAGTCATTCTTTTAGGTCAGTTAGGAATTTTCTTAAGTTAGTATTAAATTAAAACAAAGTTTTAAATTATAACTATAGTTCTTATAGCTATTAACTACATTGTAACAAATTTAATTATGAAAAAGTTCTTTTCTATTATATAATTTTTTTTAAAAATAATTGAAATTATAGCTATAAAAAATTATTAACTTTTATGCATTTTTAGTTCTTTTTTATTTTTTAATTAAAAATACCATGATCACCTACTCGCCAGCATCGATGCCTGTCATCTTTGCTGTATGCAATATTCAATAAAAATATAAACAACACTTATTGAAACTAGACATAATGTTATTTTGCATTAAAACTTAAGCAAAACAAAATAATAATAATAATAACAAACTAGGAAGTGATCTCAAAAGGCCCCTTAATAACTTAGAAATCATCTACTTAATTTTTAGCAAAAAGTTAATTAAAAACAACTGAAAAAAGACAAGTTATGCTTGTATACTTTCTAACTTTTCCTATAAACAACAAAAAAAGAACTTTTAGCAGCTTACCTGAACAGCTTACCATTAGGATTTAAAGAATCAGATTCCCTACCCATTAAAGCAAGAAGATGAGAAAATATATAATACTCAACAGCATCTAATACCTACAAACAATGCCTACACGGAAAAAGAAAAGGGAAGGCCAGCTTCTCCTTTTTGCATTATGTACTACTGCTAGAACACACAAGAAAAAAGTTCCCAACATGCTTTACTAATGTCAATGGCAAGGAAAATTGAAGAAACAAACAATAAGAAGTTAAGAACCATATAATTGATCTAGCACACTGAAAGATACAAATAGAGGTGCAAGAGTCATTTGAATTGGTTGGAGGAACCATAGTCAGGTGACGATGGTTGGAGGAACGATAGCTAGAGGGCGATAGTGGACAGAGGGACCGTAGTAGGGCGATCGAGATCGAGGGGACCATTTTCTGGTGACACAGGTCGGAGGGATCGTAGTAGGTTCACGACGGTGGTCAGAAGGACCATAGTCGGGCGACGGTGGCAGGAGGGACCGTGGTCGGCTGGCGACGGTTGGTTTTTGAGTTGAAATAATTTGGAAGATTCAGTTCCGCAGCAAATTCCAAAGCCAGATCCTGGATATAAGGTTTGGTCGCGGCCCGGTGCGAGCGGGATTCATCCTGGGTCGGGTCGGGTCGTGATAGTGGTCGGCTGGCGACGGAGGTTGGAAAGATCGTAGTCAGACAACAATGGTTGGAGGAATTATACTATGCGGATAACGGTGGTTGAAATGACCGTAGTCAGCAGACGACAAAGGTCGGAGGAACCATAGTAGACGGGCGACAGTGGACAGAGGGATCGTAGTCGGCGCACGACGGAGGTCGGACGAAGGCTCGATGGTGGCTGGTGGATGGAGGCCCGACGATGATGATCGGACAGAGGTCTAGTAGTGGTGGCCTAGTTGCACGGGTTTCCTGGCAATGGTGCATGGGTGGAGCTCTATGATCCTTCGAGCCTCAGAGCTCTATTGGGTTTCTAGCTCAGGGTCTAAGCCTTCAAAGGTTTAAGCCCCTCCTTCATGTGGGAAGATGGGACCTATTTATTGATTTTGAGAGTGGTATGCCCTGTAAATATGGATGAGATTTAGGATAAATTTGGAGTGCTCCATCAGAAGACCCATACTGATTCCTTTGATTATGGTGCATTTGTTCCGCATTTAAGTGCCTTAATGATATTAGAATAAAGCGATCTTGAGCTCGTTGGATTCTTCTCATTGAGCCGCTAGATTTGACTATAAGCATGCTATATTTGGATATCATTCAACCATTAAATTAACGTCCTAAAGCTTCCAAATACACCTTTAACCCTTGATTCAGGTCCATTTGGGCTTGGATTGGACCGATTTTTGTGTTGTTGGGTTCTCCTTGCCAAGATGTTTGATCTGACTGTAAGCTTGCTGAGATTAGAGTTCGGATGGTCTTGAATTTAATTTTGAAAGTATCCAACATGAATATGCCTCAAGATTCGTGCTTGATCAAGGCGATTTTTGGTGACGTGTCAAGGAGAACATAAATTTATTATGATAAGGAGCAATAGAAAAGTCTCTAAGTGCAGAACTAAATAGTCTTTTGCGTTCAGATTCTTGCAAATAATACAGAAATGAAGGTTTGCAGTTTCCCACTACAGCAATACCACGCATCCTTAAGTATGATAAAAATAGCTAGTTCCCGGAATCAGAGAGCCTTTTTTAAAGGAGAGATAAGAAAACACCAGACAAGATGTAATGCATGGGGCCTATTTAAAATTCCTTGGCATCTCGTATGCCCCAACCATGCCTATAAATAAGGCCGGACATCATGCAAATGAGATGTCAATGAATAAAACAACAAGTGGAAGATGATTTCTTGTATTATATCACTCATAGAAGAGTCTTACATGAAGAGGTAGAGAGTGGAGTGCAGCCAAGGATGACTTGCCGGCATTAAAAAGCAAAGCTTTGTTGACAATGGTCGGCGGGTTGTCCTTGGCTACATGTGGCTCTCTTCTTCTCATGTAAGACACTTAACTATGCTTTCTTAAAGATGACGGCAGCTTTTTGTGAAGCTTGAAACTGATAATGTAAGCAATGGATTTTTTGTGATTTCTTTCTATTATTTTAACTACTTTTACAACTACCATTTTCCATATCAATTCAATATAGGGAAACGCCATGAAATTATTCATATAGACTTATTATTACCCAATAGGTAGATAACATGAGTTTATAACATTAGCACTTGTACCATAAAAGAACATAGAAACTAAAGATTTCTTCTTGTTTATGATTTCTTGTATATTGCTCGAGCATCACATTAAAATCATCTTGATTAGACTCAAACCTAATGTTTTTATCCAGCTATACTAAGTATCTTCTGTGTATAATTTTGTTAAATTTGAGTGTATTTTAAGATTAAAGTTTAATGTTGTTTGCACACTCTAGCTATTCAGTTTAGAGTATAAGCCAAAGATAATAATACTTCAATGAAATTTCTATATTAAAAGTGATGTTAACAAAGTTTATATTTGTTGAAAATACATATGTTGAGACGAGCAATTTGATATTATGAGTTTTGATTATTTTTTTTTTAATAGTTTTCTGATTTTCTTGATTAC